CTCCTTTTTCACTCCTGCGCAACACGGGTTTCGTAAAACATACTCCTGTGAAACACAGCTCATAACCTTCACTGAAAAACTGCACACTATCCTGGACAGTTCGTCTCAAGCAGACTGCATTTATTTAGATTTTTCTAAAGCATTCGATAAGGTCTGTCATCAACTTCTACTTCACAAACTAAGTAACCTCAACCTTGATAGAAACGTGCTACAATGGATTGAATCATTCCTTACGCGCCGCACCCAATTTGTTCATGCTAATGGCTTTAACTCTTCTTTCAGCGAAGTGCGATCTGGGGTCCCACAAGGATCCGTCCTAGGGCCCCTTCTATTTCTTATCTATATTAATGACCTCCCTTCAAAATTGTGCTCTCATATTCAATTGTTTGCAGACGACTGTGTGATATTTCGTAAGATTAATAATAGTGACGACATTAGAATCCTTCAGTCTGACCTAACCGCTGTTTCTAACTGGTGCCAAACTTGGCTGATGGAATTAAACATTAACAAATGTAAGGTTATGCATGTATCCCGCAACCCCAAGCATCAGTCAACTTATTACCTAAACAACATAGCTTTAGAACTAGTTACATCATATAAGTACCTTGGAGTGCACATTACAACTAATCTCAGCTGGTCAACACATACTGAACATATCATCAACAACGCTAATAGCATGTTAGGGTACTTACGCCGCAATTTTTCTAGAGCCCCATCGTCACTAAAATTATCGCTTTACAAATCCTTAATACGCCCCAAGTTAGAGTACGCAGCATCAGTATGGGATCCAAGCCAAAAAAATCTAATCGCTTCTCTCGAGCTTGTTCAAAATAATTCCGCTCGCTTTATCCTGTCAAACTATAACCGTACTGCCAGCATATCTTCAATGAAAAGCAGCCTTTCCCTTCCCTCTTTATCATCACGCAGGAAACTTTTTCGGTTAACCATGCTACATAAAATATATTATCATTCCTTCCTGCGCAACGAACTCTTACCCCAACCACTATACATTTCCCATCGCATTGACCACCGTCACAAGGTTGGCATTAACTATTATCATACAAAATCTGCCACTCAGTCATTCTTGCCCCGTTCGTCCCGGGAATGGAACCACCTTCCCGCTGAAATTGCGGGTATCACCGATAACCAACTGTTCCGTGCTGCCTTAGCCAATATTGTATATGCAGAAGTATCTTATGTTTAATCTGTGTTTGTGTGACCACATTGTTGCGATAATACTAATTTGTTTTGTCTTTCCTTTTCCTTTTTATGTACACAACGTTTTTTGTAACCATGCTACCTCATGTTATGCCTTTGTTCTGTACCACTCCCCTCTGTAATGCCTCTGGCCCTGAGGGTATAACAAATAAATAAATAAATAAATAAATAAATAAATAAATAAATAAATAAATAAATAAATAAATAAATAAATAAATAAATAAATAATTAAGTGTCCGTACACTTCGGTGGAACAGTGGCCACGGTTCTGGGCTGCTAACCCTAACGTCACGGGTTAGATTGGTCGCAATTCAATAGAAGCGAACTGGTAGAGGACCATGTACTGTGCAATGTCAGTGCACGTTTAAGAACATTGAATCGTCCAAATTTCCGGAATGCTCCACTATATACGGTGTCTCTCATAATCATATCTTGGTTGTGGGCCGTAAAACTTCACACAATATTGTTTCCTGAGGGTTCTTGCTTATTTTAAGCCGTACGTCTACAGTCGCTCAAATATTTAACTATCGTTCGCAAGCGACCATTTTTTCTCTGTCTTTTCACCGTATCATTCAATCAAGTTCTAAGGAAAAGTGAGAGCCAGTGCATTCTATCAACATTTTTGCCCATAAAACAAGTCTTGGGATATAGGCCACTGACACGCGAGAAAGTAGCTACTGCACATGGTAGTTAAATATTAGGGCGGCTGTACATGTACACGAATTACATGTGCGCGGTAATCATGTAGCTTGTACCCATATTCGCAATGAACTACGAAAACCGAAGCGTAATATGCCACACGACGCACGCTGTGCAAGTGTGAGGACTCCCTTCAAGTTACCTTCCTCAACCATCCAGCACGTCCTTGCGTCGAAACACTCGCGGTCCAGCCTACGCGACACTACAATAAAGAATCCATAGACACACGCTGCTTGCTACCAAGTTTCAGTCCCTTCATCTTCCATAATATAAGCGAGTAAGTGAACCAACAGCTTATCCTCATCCAGCATGGATCATACGATATTGCAGTTTGTTTGATGGCGGCAACGAAGAGCGTGTTTTTTTTTTCTATAGAATTTTACGTGATCAACGCTCTGGAACGCCGTCCTCAGTGAACTGAGACCACGCACTCACTGCCAGTGCAGCATGTGGGACAGTTATTTGCTCGCGTACACATACGCTGCTGGGGCAGTCATTACTAAAGAGAGAATGGCGGCAACACGTCGAGTGTAAACGACCGCACGTGTGAACGTGTCAGTCCTCGGAAGTGCATAGAGAGAGAGATAAAGATGCAAGGAAAGGCAGGGAGGTTAACCAGACGCACACCTGGTTTGCTACCCTGCACTGGGGAAGGGATAAAGTGGAGAAAAGAGGTTGCAGAAAGATGAGAAGGTACATACAATCACGAGCACACTCGGGCAGCACACACAGTCTACAGGCGGTCGCTCAGGTTTGTTGACTTTAGGTAAAGTAGCAGTGCTTTAGTGCATAAGTGGATGAATTACAAGAGGCCTCTCGTGCTGTGGATCCCTGACGAGCTCATTGCCGCTGAATGATCGCGCAAGCTGCGCTTGGGCCAGCGCAAACATTGCAAACTACGCACTAGATTATAAGTTAAAAAACCTTCTCATTAACGACAACATCAAATAAATGGCGTTCTCTTGTATTTATTTCTTGTGCATGAACCGTGATGTGTGTCTCTCGACTCATAGGAGCCTTCTAGAATTAACTAGAGGGGACTCTGACATTTCGATCGTTCAGCGGCCATGGGAATTATGGGTAGTACATGGATTTGCCTTGTCTTCGTACTTGTGGGCCTCGAGTCGCACTTGTGGCTTCGTTTATTGCAGTGTTTCGATTTTGTTTCGAATAAAAGAACAAACTGTTTTGAACATCTTGACCCGATTTGAGTTGGTGAGCCTAAAAGATTAAGGTGGTGAAGCGTAACTGATAAACTATTGCTGATTGCTGTTTCGTGACAAAACAGCTTCAAGCCACGCGAAGGTGGACGAAACGTGAATTACGAAGATTAGGCAAATCCAAGTTCTGTGTATAATTCCCATGCTCGCTGAAGCGCCATGCACTGCAGCTCCCATAGACCCTAGCGCCAGAGTTACCTCTGGTGTTTAAATAGTAAACTAAATGCATCGATTGATAGAAATAACGAACTAAGCAGGTTTCACATCTCTCCGATTGGCGTAGACTGCAGGGGAAGGGGCGTCCAGACCCTCTCCCCTTACCCCACCCCGAAATATTTGAATTTGTATGTGCATATACGCACATAAACGTACAACCACGCAAAAACATACCTGAAGGGTAGTTGTATCCCCTTTAACTCCCCCCCCCTCACTCCGACTAAAAAAAAAGCTTTACTACGCCTCTGTCTCCCTCTTCTTGGCAGTTATTCCTCTAGGCTTCATTCACAAATGTAGCTGCTGACTGTTTTCTCGTTTGTTTGCCGCCTTCGAGCCAATATTATTTTAAGCACTTTCTCCCGCATCCTGTACTTTCATCTTCGTTCCTTCTTTCCCTTCTTCATAATATGTAATCCCCGCCGCGGTGGTCTAGTGGCTAAGGTACTCGGCTGCTGACCCGCAGGTCACGGGTTCTAATCCCGGCTGGGGCGGCTGCATTTCCGATGGAGGCGGAAATGTTGTAGGCCCGTGTGCTCAGATTTGGGTGCACGTTAAAGAACCCCAGGTGGTCGAAATTTCCGGAGCCCTCCACTACGGCGTCTCTCATAATCATACGGTGGTTTTGGGACGTTAAACCCCACAAATCAATCAATCAATCAATCAATCAATCAATCAATCAACCAAAATAAGTAAACGAATATAGGCTAGAAAACATCTGACAGGGCGGGTTCTCCAAATTGCACGTGCCGATCCAAGAGCACTCAATGTGAGTAGCTGGTAAGCACATTTGTGGAAACTCAGAAAGACACCGATCAAAAGGAAAATGCGTTTATTGACGTTTTATCTCCCACAATTGGGACGAAACGCCAATGACGTTTCGTCTTTCCCACAATAAAGGGAGAAAGAGGAATGGCGTTATAGGCGGTTAAGTGCATGACTTAAAGCGTGGACGTACATTGAATTAAGAATTCGGCCATCGGGATTCAACATGCATGCGTTGTTGTCTGGGCATGAAAATACCAAGGATAAAGACTGGACTTAGATTCATTTCACTAGTAGGTACACATGCGCTGTCCCAGTCTATCTAGTGGCCTGTGGAGCCAGTGAGTTCAGCAAGAGCACTGAAAGCCACGTGGTGCCTATCGGTATCTTTCCGATGCTGCTCGAGTCTTTCCGAATTCCGTGTCTCGCATCCAAGGTCTCCCGCAGTGGTATAGGTGGTCCGCTATAGCTATCGTGACAGTCAGTCTTCTTCGTAGCGCCGAATCGAATTTTGCCGATCGTGCAAATATCCTTACTGTCGCCTGTCAATCCTCCACCTGCGTCAATGGCTCTCTTTGTCTTTGTGTCTTCGCTTGCTTACTCTCCTGCGACTCCGGCTTCCCCAAGGCCACAATTCCCTCGGCATGCATAAAAGTACACGCATCTCACTCCAAGGTGCTTATCAATCTCTTCGCAACAAGACACATTTGTGGATGCGTACACGAATGTGCGCTCACTTTTATTCGTTAAACTCTCCTCCTCTACGTCCAGGAGATACATTTCCATTCACAGAGGTATGCGTCTCTGTTATTGGTTGGATTGCTCAGCCGTCGTAGAAGAGCTCAGGTACACAGTGTGATCGCTCATACGTTGCGGTGACAACCGCAGTCGCAGTCGTTGTTCCCACTCTGTCAGCGTCCAGATGCGACCGGCAGTTGGTGTCAGCGGTGCGACGAGCGCGACGAAGTCCGTGATATGGCCGAGTATCCAGTTCGCGCTTCTCTTGCTGCTCGGCGTGCAGCCTGTCCTGGGCTTGGAGAATGGGCTCGCCAGGACGCCGCCCATGGGATGGCTGGCCTGGGAGCGTTTCTTGTGCAACATCGACTGCGTCGATGATCCTGAAAACTGTGTCAGGTCAGTGCGTACGCACGTGGAGGTTTTTTAAGTGGCAAAAGCTTTTTTTTTCTTTTTCTTTTTTTTTACGCAGCCCCGATTGCGGGTTACGCTGTATCCTACTGTCTTCATGCATACCCCTTGCCGTAAAGAGTGTGCTGAAATTACTGTACTTTAGGCTGTTCTTTTATGAAAATGTGCGCATATTTACTGCATGAGAACGGAAAAAGAGAAACAGAAACAATAAAAAAAACTTCAGCATATCCACGAAGTAAATGATGACAAGTGGGGCTTCGCCCTACTCGTCATCATTCGGAGGATTTTATCAGTAAACCATGAATCCTCCGTCTGCCTATCCGTCCATCCGTCCGTCTATCTATCTATCTATCTATCTATCTATCTATCTATCTATCTATCTATCTATCTATCTATCTATCTATCTATCTATCTATCTATCTATCTATCTATCTATCTATCTATCTATCTATCTATCTATCTATCTATCTATCTATCTATCTATCTATCTATCTTTCTATCTATCTATCTAACTAACTAACTAACTAACTAACTATCTATCTATCTATCTATCTATCTATCTATCTATCTATCTATCTATCTATCTATCTATCTATCTATCTATCTATCTATCTATCTATCTTTCTATCTATCTATCTATCTATCTATCTATCTATCTATCTATCTATCTATCTATCTATCTATCTATCTATCTATCTATCTTTCCGTCCGTATATCCATCCGTATATCCATCCCTATATCCATCCGTATATCCATCCGTCTATCCATCCCTCTATCCATCCGTCTATCCATCCGTCTATCCATCCGTCTATCCACCCGTCTATCCATCCGTCTATCCATCCCTCTGTCTGTCTGTCTGTCTGTCTGTCTGTCTGTCTGTCTGTCTGTCTGTCTGTCCGTCCGTCCGTCCGTCCGTCCGTCCGTCCGTCCGTCCGTCCGTCTGCACCTGCTGAATGAGTCACAAAACTAGGCTATTACGAACCATAAGAGACAAGCATGTATGAATCCACGGCTTAAGGAGCTTCACCCCTAAACATGCTCAGACGTCGGGCAGGTTCAGGAGCAAGAGCCGTTACGATTTGCTTGACGCGCAGTCTCTCTGCCGTTCGTCCATAAAACACAAATCACAATCACAAATCACTCTCATCTCTGCCATTGGGGCCATCGTGGTGCCGAAAAAAAAAAGCATGCCGAAGTTTGAAGCTGTGACAGCGAAACACCATTTTTGTTGAAACAGATTATTATGCCTAGAATTGTGTTTTCTTTCTCTGTTATTAGTTCCGGAGATGAATTATTAAAAATTAACAAAAATTACAAGACGCTGACTACAGTAAAACGTTTTAAAACAAACAGCTCCCACACGAAGCATTGTTCACCAAAGATGATCTCTGGAATTATCTCTGAAGATAATCAGTTTCAATTCACTTCACTTCGCACTCAAGGACGAAGGCATTACAGAGGGGAGTGAGTAAAAAATGAAATCAATCAAAAAACGCAGCTAACCGTAAGCAAGGATACTCGTTCATTGGCTCCTATTTATACAGTCTTAGCTAGTGTTGTTTCGAATAATCAATGGTCTTCAATGGTTTACCATCTTTTCGCGTTGCCGCGGGGAAAACGACGCTTTCAAATCTCCATTGCTTGGCAGTATTCTTTCGCAGTCTGTGAACTATCGTTGCGCGTTGTTACTTCATAGCGAAGACCTGTCCTTGTACTTAGGGGACAGAGGATGCGCATGCATGCTTTACCTTGCCTGACACGCATTTGGCATCTTCAGTTGTTTAAGCCGAACATTGCTCTGTGACGGCTGTACAGAATGTTCATCTTTTCTCCCATAACACGTGCCCCGATTGGCCTGGCATGACGTACAGTAACTCTTATGGCGGAGAGAAGGACTATACAAAGAGAAAGAGAGAGCGAGAATGAAAGAAATAGAAAACATATTGGCGAAAAAAAGTTTCTCGATGAGGCGGGAGGCGAAACCCGCTTACCCACGAATCAAAGGCGAGCATTGCCCTCGTCTCATCAGGCACGCAGGCAGAGCACAACATAGCCCTGTATACTATAGTATAGTGTAGTAACAGAAAAAATGAATGAGGGAGGGAGTAAGCATAGCATAGAAAGAGGAGCACGAAATTATAGAGAGAAAGATGAGAAAGAAATCACCGCCATATCCACAAACTGAATGATTCGCCAAAACTCAGTTGAAAGCTCACGCTTGTGTCCGTCTAGTCCTTCATCCCAAGTGTTCGTCATTTAAGCAGTGCGCAATAAGGTGACAATGAACTCGCCCAAGCAAGTATTTTTATCTGTTAGAGGAGCTTGCTCGGAGGTGCACCAGGCGTTACTTGGCGAAATCATTTCCGTAGGAAGGTTTGTGAACGAGCCTGCGCGTGTTGTGTACAGTACGTCAAAGGCAAGGTTGTCGGGCACGTTCCGCGACCGGCACTGCACAGCTAGTGTTGGCCACGTCGATCGGCAATGTCAACCATCTGCCCTTTTATGCCACGCTTCCCGCTGCCGTGAGTCTAATGCCAAACGCTCATAAATGGCAGACGTGAAGCTATCAGGCATTCTTCAACAGAAGCACAGACAGATGCACGGACGAACAGACAGACGGATGGTCAGAAGCACGGGCGGATGCACGGAAGCACGCACGGATGAACAGATGTAAGCATGGTCGCATGGATGAACGGGCAAATGGATGGACGGTTGGACACACGGAGGGACGAATGGATGGTTCGCCCCGCTCATCATCGTTCACTCCGTCAATATATGCTATCAAAACCACTAACGTCACCTAGTTATATTATTCCCACGGACATATGCACACAACGCCATCTAATGAGGAAGTCATAAACTAGAGGTGGCTACATACTACATACGGTGGAGGGAACGACCCACGGCCCAAGGATCTTCGCCCCTCAAAAGAAATGAAGTTAGGGAGAGGAAAGGCAGAAGAAGAAACATATTTACCTTCGTGGTCAGTGGATATTACAGAGGGGAGTACCTAAGTTTACAAAAGAAGTGGTTATTCCCTCTTATACAATAACAGTAAATTTGCACAATATGCCTACCCCAATGATACAAATGACGCAATAAGTAAACCAACAATGTTATACGACTGTTGCAGCCTTGAAAAAGAAAAAAAATCCGCTTGTCTAAACGTCGGGTGCAGCCCGTGCCCCTTATTATCGAAATTTCCATTGTCGTACACTGGCATTTCAGGAGGAAAAAAAAACGAGTAACGCAATAAAGCAGTAAAAGTGAAATAACTTCATGTAAAACGAGACACGAAAATTGTGTCATTGTGGTTCTGGGGAAGTGTAGGGGGGAATCAAGTGCCCCTGTTACACGCCCTGTTGATGCCCATGAGTATGGTGTGCGCAATCGAACTATGCTAGCACTTCTTCTTTTCTGTGTAAAAAGCCCAACAGTTGCTAGTTCAGAGCCTGTCCTGTGTCATTCTTCTCGTGTCACCATCTTTTGGCACAGCTTTTACTTGTATAAGATAACCTAGCAAAGCACAACATTTAAAACAAAGTGAGGAACCTCGCCCACCTAAGCAGCAAATACTAATCTACTGAAGGCGTGCTTTATTACAGTACGCTGACAGGCAAGCTCTGAACAAAGAGCAAGAGAAGAATGAAGAATCATGCAAAATCTCCTCACGGTCGCGCACTGGCGTCCCGAATGGCACTGCTTCACACATCGCGTCGCGAAAAAAAGTGTTTTGAACAGCACCTAGAAGTGCTTGATGCTGCGAAAGAACCAGTATACCTTTGATTCGAGTATAACCGAAGTTTAACTTTTATTGCAGTGAGCGGCTTTTCAAGGAGATGGGCGACGCCTTCGTGATGCACGGCTACCGCGAAGTCGGATACAAGTACGTGAACATCGACGACTGCTGGATGGCGAACCAGCGTGACGCATCCGGAAGGCTGCAGGCGAATCGAACCAGGTTTCCCAATGGCATCAAGCACCTAGCAAACTTTGTGAGTGCCTTGAAAAAGCGCAATGATTACTTAGATGACAAAAAGAAAACATCGAAACAAAAGCTACGCACAAGCAATCTCCAACACGGGTTTCAGTGTACTTCAACATGATTGACATATTCTTGCAAGCTTATCTGGACAAGATCGCTTGGTTTTGGTTTCTTCTGGTGTTCGTCATTTCACTTACCCTGTCCCACCCCGCAAGTGGGAAAGGTTGGAGGGATCTAACAACCACCTGCCCCCGAAATTTTTCCATTTTACACGTGTAGATATAGATATACGCACGCATACAAACGCACACACAAGCATACACATAATTCATACTTAAAGTGTGGCTGAGCTCGCCATACACCCCACAGAAGGTCCCCGTTACTGTCCTGGTTCATATACATGCCAGCAATTAAGTGATCTATGTTGAAATATGGAGTACTACCGATACTTTTTTAATAGAGAAATAAATTTCTGTCTAATCGAAATGCAGGTGTGACACGCGGCGTTGCACACACACACACACACACACACACACACACACACACACACACACACACACACGCATACATGCATACATGCATACACACACACACGCATACATGCATACATGCATACACACACATACATACATACATACATACATACATACATACATACATACATACATACATACATACATACATACATACATACATACATACATACATACATACATACATACATACATACATACATACATACATACATACATACACACGCATACATACACACACATACATACATACATACATACATACATACATACATACATACATACATACATACATACATACATACATACATACATACATACACAAAAAACACTGTACTAGGAACGCAACTGCATTAGTAAAAGCATAGATTCCACATATATTTTTGAAGAGAAGCCTAGATAATACGTTCACTGTAATGATTATATGGACAGTTATGTTCTAAAGTTATGTTCTAAATGTGCCACGTCCTTTCGTCCTAATGGAGGACCTTCAGTAAAATTTGGTTGAGACAATGTGAATTTGGCAGCAGAGCTTCAGCGGGATTAAAAAAAAACAATGTAATCTTAGGAAAAGCGACCTTGCATAATGCATATGGTAGAGCGTTTCATTGTGTTATTGTAGTTGAAGGGTTTCGGACAATCATTCGAAATGTCGTTTACCTTATTTTCTCTATTCGGCTATGTAGCAGCGATTGTGGAACAATCTGCCTGGATCATTGTGTCGAGGCTTATTATTGAGCCGTTCAGTCACTTCCAAAGTTTCCTAATACAACGACACGGTAACACAATAATGTGCTTACTCTTATGCTGCGACTACTTTGGCTTTTTTTTCTACTCATTTTGTTCTCTTGGCGGATGTGTGTTCCAACTTGTCAGAGAGCTGACTGCGTGTACATTTTTGTTTATTTTATCGTGGTGTTTGAATAAGTTAAAAATTTTAACATTAACACTAATACTGTGCCATAGTTATTTATTTATTTTTATTGTCACACATTCTCAGTTGCACAGTCGTGGCTTGAAACTGGGGATCTATGGCGACGTTGGGACAAAGACGTGCGAAGAGTACCCGGGCAGCAAGAAGCACCTGCTCCTGGACGCCCAGACCTTTGCTGAATGGGATGTGGACATGGTCAAGATGGACGGCTGCTTTGCCAATATCACAGAATACAGGAAACGTAAACGTATTCCTTTTTACTTTAAAAGATACGTCCAATGGTGACGTACACACATTTTACCTTGAACAGTATGCTACACAGCTGGTTGGTTTGTGGCTCAGGCGCAAATCCACACTAGTAAAAAAAAGTAAAGAAAAATGAAACAAAAGCACATATTTCTTTCTTGACTGTCCCCCTTTGTACCGCAATAATAATAATAATAATAATAATAATAATAATAATAATAATAATAATAATAATATATTATTATTATTATTATTATTATTATTATTATTATTATTATTATTATTATTATTATTATTATTATTATTATTATTATTATTATTATTATTATTATTATTGCTGTTTTGTCTAGATGCACACTAAAACAGATACAAAGAGAAAGTATGGAGAGAACAAATTGACAACTTCCAACCAAATGGACTTAATGCCTGTCTGCTACATATGAACACAAGTAGTGAACACTAGTAGGGACTCACAAGCCACTCCATAAGAAGCTTTGCCCCTAAAATGGATCGAAACAAAAGTTTCGCACAAGTTGTCTCCAAGAACTAGCTACATTTTTCAGTGCACTTCAACGTGATTCACATATTCTTGCAAGCTTATTTTGACAAGATCGTTTGGTTTCTTCTGGTGTTCGTTATTTCACTTATGGAAGGAAGGAAGGAAGCAACAAAAGGGAGAAGGCAGGGAGGTTAACCAGAAAGACATCCGGTTGGATACCCTACACTGAGGGATCAGGGAAGGGTACAAGAAAGATGAGAAAAAGAGAAGAGAGGGAAAAGAAAAGGAGAGACTGACAGCAATTTCACTACAGCGTGTAGAACTCCACCGCATGTCAGAGGCGTTCACACAAGCCCGTCTTTCTCAGGAAACACAGCAGGGCTTTCACTGCCTTATGGGCTGTCGAGCGATGAGGACGTTGCTGTAATAGCACCAAACTTATCGAAACAAAAGAAGCCATTAAGCTTCCACTGATGTGCATCGTACGTGTAACCAATGAAGACAAGTACACCCCACTACCGTAGCTTCAATGAATATGCTGCCTTCGTGAAGTAATTCATTACGCTGGCCTGAATAGTAATAGCTCCTTTCCTACACTCCCTTAGTGTACCCGGACTTTGGCGACGCCATCAACAAGACTGGGCGGCCGATGGTCTACTCGTGCAGTTGGCCTGCCTATCAAGTCTTTTCTAATGTAACTGTAAGTTTACCTTCATTGATAAGGGCTTCATAAAGTATTCACAGTGCTACTTGAAGGCATCAATAGCTTGAAGGTCAAGTGGTCGCGTGCCAGCTTTGTGATTAGGAGGCGTGTGCGAGTAATCAAGCTTTTAAATACAAGGGGAGTGACTTTAGCCATTCAATTCAATTTTGATCCAATATAATTTGCTAGTTAAAAGTGTGAAATCTTCAAATTTTTCGTAATTATAAGGTATAAAAGCGATTACTATGTGTGTCTTCAGGGAGCCGGTCTGATCAGTGGGTACAATCTGATTAAACAATCTTGAAGTTCCTGAAGATTTTCTGGAAAACATCATTCACAGCCGGTTATACTGAAACATTTTTACCATGTGAGTAGTTAATTAGTATTTGAACTGTAATTCATTTACCAATCCTATATTAAGTGCAGATGTGGTTGATTAGTCCTTCACTGCAGAGTGTCGCAAATTCGTGACATACCAAAAAGCCACGAAATGCATGCTACCTTTAATGCCGGCTGTCAAGTACCCACGGGGAACGTTCAGCATAAAACATCTAATGCTGTCTCGTGTAAGCTATTCTATGCCAAATCTAAGTGGTGGGCAATATATATATATATATATATATATATATATATATATATATATATATATATATATATATATATATATATATATATATATATATATATATATATATATATATATATATATATATATATCTGTGTGTGTGTGTGTGTGTGTGTTTACGCTTCCAACAGGTGGCAAACGACGTCTTAAACTGTTACTTAGTTCTGAAGTGTTTTTTTTTGTTGTTGTTAAAAGATCCTCGCTTCTGTGGCTGGTCAAGAATTAATGACGTACCTAAAATACGCATTAATGTTACATTTTAGACAATTTAAAGCAGAATTATTAAAAAAATGCTATTTAAAACTGGACAATGAAACCAGATTTTTCTTCAGTGGTTTCATAATTCAGGCATTGAAAGGTTAGGAGGGGTGGGCAAATTGGAAATTTTGGAACTGAATAGAAGACAAATCGAATAGTGATGACGCCTAATGGAATGAATTTAGTAATCAAAACCTTAAAACCGAATGGTTTTCGAATAGTAAGTAGACCATTTTCGAAATAGTGCTAGAACACCACAACATTTTATTAAAAAGAAATAGTCACATACTTAACAAATATTGCAAAACAGATATTACAGTTAGTTTTAATCGACTCAAAACACTACAATTACAAAAGCTCAGATAAGCTCGTACACAGAAAAAAGTGAAGCCTCCGCAATGTTTTGTAACAAAACGAAACGAATATTACAGTTAGTTTTAATCGACTCAATATGCCACAATTACGAAAGGTAAGCTAAGCTCGTACACAGCAGAAACTTGATCCTCCACAATATTTTATAACTGAGTTCCAATTCAAAAAATTCTCTAACGTTGTCAATGTGAGACTTCGTGGCCTGAATTAAATCACATGGGAACAAAAAAAACTAACAATGTCTAACCAAATACCGCGGACGCAGCTAAATATGTAATTTTTGAAGGAAATATACTTTCTTATTGCGCAAGGAACGTTTCAGAAACGCTCAATCCTATCTGAATTCTTTCTGAAACGTTCTCTGCGCAGTGAGAAAGTATATTTCTTTAAAAAATGCAATACCAACCAGCCCAAGCAGCCTCGTTTTCGCAGTATAAAGATGTAATAAAGCAGATCAGCCAGTCATCATAACATGGTCACCAAACCGAAAGCATGGAACAATCGGTATTTAAATCTACGTATGCAAGAAAAATTTATGCAACCGCAACACTCCAATCTGTCGTTAGTCATGAAGGTGCAAGCAGTTGGAGTCTTCGCTATCATTTATTACAAGATGAAAACAGGTAACGATCATTGCGATAGAACTGCATCATAGTAAAAAAAAAAAAAGAAAGAGTCAAGAAACACGTTCTTTTGGCAGTCGATATAGTGTCAGTAGTCTCGTAAAAGCCTGAGCTGCCTGCAGATCGCTTTTGGGAGTCAAAGAAGAAGAATTACATTTAGTTGTTACAACGTTTCGTTGTTTTGAGGTTCACCCGTCGAATATGTATACTATTAGGCAAAAGTTCTGAATTTAATACAGTACTATTCGGTTCATTTCGCACACGCCTAGATTTTAATATAGTGCTCGGACACAGAAGATTACACTACAAAAGAATACTTGTTACAACACACACACACACACACACACACACACACACACACACACACACACACACACACACACACACACACACACACACGCATACACACACAAACGCATGCACGCACGCACGCATGCACGCACACACGAACGCACGCACGCACACACGCACACACGCACACACGAACGCACGCACGCACACGCACACACGTCCACACACACGCACGCACACGCACACACGTCCACACACACGCACGCACACCCGCACGCACACGCGCACACGCACGCACACACGCACACACACACACGCACACGCACGCACGCACACACACACACACACACACACACACGCACACACACGCACGCACACGCACGCACGCACCGACGCCCACGTGGATGATGTAGGCCCACATGTCACACTTTCATGTTTTTTCCAGCCAAACTACACTTTGATTGGCCATCACTGCAATATGTGGAGAAATTATGTGGACATCGCGGACTCATGGCGGAGCGTTGAGAAGATCATCGACTACTATGCGAAAAACCAGGAGGCGCTGGTGGCTGCAGCCGCGCCGGGACGCTGGAACGACCCGGATATGGTGAGCACCAGCATATGTGACCGATACAGACCATCTCTGAACATGACAGAGAGCTTAGAACATCCGCCAGGTTGCAAACATACGAACAAATATGGCGGATGCATGAGGGCGCTGTGGAGTTTATGGGACCCTTGAGTATCCCGCAGTTCAATACGGCGATCCACATTTATGCACGATGCGGAAAACTCACCACAGTAAGGTTACATGGGGCGATTCATTTACAGGCTAAGTAAATATCATCAGTAGGTTTGTGTCCTTACAGCGGTAATTTCGCTAAGCAGAGACAGAAAAAGGCAGAAACACACGGACCCATATATACGTTTGATTCATAGAATGGAACAGCGCAGATACACGGGACAGAAAGAATAACAGGACTCAGCGCCAAGTTATCTCAGTATTTCTTGTCACGTGTGTCTGCGCTGTTCTCTGCTACGAAGCCAAGCCAACAATCTCAAGTTTATGCCCTTGTCTTAAAATGCATTTAAGTTCTCCAGTTATATATTATATGGGAAGCACTGTGAGCACGCTACTAATGACAACTAAGTCTGTTTCAGATATTCTACACTGAATATTTTGCCGGTATGCTCTACCGTACGTGTACACAAAGTAAACATGATAATGGGCTTCCTAGTAATTATTTGCACGGAAGAAAGAAAGCTCGTCACCGCTTTTTCGTAACTGTCTCATTGGTAATTATCCATAAGTAGGTGAGGCAGGCATATGTGAATTCTCAGATACCCTAAAAAGAAAAAAAAGAAAACTTGGCATTACATATTCTACCTTGCTAACTCGCGACATGCTCTAACCATAATAAAGCCCTAGTGTCGCTTCGCCAGAAGAGATTTGATTAGGCAGTTCCTCTTCTGATATTGTATTCCATTTAATAAACATCCTGCTCCAATCTTTGTCAGGAATGTGAGAGATTTAAGTGTTTCTTCTGTGATTGCTAAATATACTGTCTTGCGTGTGCTATTTACTCATTGCACGGGGGCGTAGCAAATATTTTATTTTGGTGAAGAAAAGGGGAGGGGGAAGGTGCTTTAAACAACCTTTATAAGTGTTCTGTTGCGTATATATGTATACGTGCATGCATGCATACCAAAAGTAAACCGCTCGGGGGTGGATGGTTGGGAACACCTCCCTTCGCCACTAATGGCCATGCCTGTGTAGTTACAGCAGTTGCATTAAGTGCTTGGTTGCCTGGTTTTCTTCTTTGTCGCTCCTGTATAATGGAAGACCTATTTTGCTGTAAGACTACATAAGTGGTCAGCAGACAGTACACAGTAAAAGACAATATTAAAATTCAGCCTTATTACGTTACGTACAGTCATCAGCAAGCTTAACACGAACGCTCTGACACGTGACCTAAACTAGTTTGACTGACGCCAGCCGAGACTAATGCCGAGATAATACCTCGGAATGCTTGGATAGTGTGCCGGCTTGCATAGGCGTAACATCTCGGACCCAGAATCCAAAGCTACGGGGTGCTACCGTCAATCGAACTGTTCTAGGACATGGGGCACAGCGATCATATTAAGCCTGCTGATGACTGCACATTGCGTCATTGCTGATGACTGCACATTGCGTCAGATCTAGAGTTAGAAATATAATTTTATTAACTTCGAAAATAGCCTTTTTTTGTTGCCTCACATTTAAAATTGCGTTTATTTGTACGCCGATAGGAAGCAGTCAAAAACCACAAAAACCACCGGTCTTATACAGATAAGAACGTCATCTACCCACCCCATCATCATCATCGCTTCATGTTGCAGTTGGTGATCGGCAACTTCGGTTTGAGCTACGACCAAAGCAAGGCCCAAATGGCGCTCTGGGCTATCATGGCCGCTCCACTGCTGATGTCCCACGACCTGCGTCACACGCGTCACGAGTTCAGGGAGATACTGCAGAACAGAGCGATCATTGCCGTGAACCAGGATCCACTGGGGATAATGGGAAAAAGAATAAAGAAGGTAAGCGTTCGGACACGTCATCTCGTATCACCCGTTTCAAAATTTGTAAGTAGGGGTCGTGTATAAAGCCGAATTTTGACAAACGGACAACTGTTTTCCTCCAGGCTAAAACAGAACCGATTAGTTTATAGCGCTAGCGTGCCTGCAATAGACAAGCTAGTGCTGGAGGAATCAGTTCTGTTCTATCCTTGAGGAAGACAGTTGTCCGCTTGTGGAAATGTCAGCTCGACACGACCCTCGCTTAGAAGTTTTTTTCAACGCAAGCTTTCTATCTTCATGTAGAATGGTTGCAGCTGAATTGAAACGTGGGCACGAAAGCAACACGATGACAGTGCTGACACTAACAACTGGCGTTTATTGAAACCTTCCACTGAATATACAGGTATGGTATTCTACAGATAAAAAAAAAACCTGTGGTCAAAGATTGCATAGACCAAACAAGAATAAAAGACTGAAAAGAGTTGGACACTTGTCATTAAGTAGTCAATTTCTCTCCTAGACAGCCCAACTGATGAAGCGCTGATATAGCTGTCAGCGCTTTTAACACGAACGCACCACCACGTGTCCTGTAGCAGTTTGATTGACGGTGACACTACGTTCGCTTGATTTCTCTTGCCAAGATGCTAACCATACATGCGGACATACTATACAAGCTTACCATGGTATTATCTCGGCAAAAGCTCCCAGCACTTCGCGGCTGGCATCAATCAATTTAGCCCTGGCCACGCATCGAAGTGTTCGTGTTAAAGGTGCTGACGGCTGTACATTCTGCGCCTTTCATTTTATGGTGGTAGTTTTTATGATAACACGAGCGTCCGTGTCCTTGCTTCTTTAGCAATTACTTCCGTGCTGTCATAGCGCGCTTGGCTCCCACATGTCCGACAACGGGCTGAGGGTTGGCCTGTGACTGCGCATGCCTCAAGGGAGCTACGCCCCTAAAGCTGGGCCGTGGTAGCAAATCTTGAAGCAAGGACTCCTGCTCGACATACTAGACTATAAATAGCTATATTCCATTCGGACGAAAAAAAAAGTAACACGCGCCATACTCATGACAAGGAATACTCGGCCTGGACATCCTAGTGGGAGCACTACGGCTGCGTGATGAGTTTCTTTATTTGATCAAAGGAGAGAAATGATCGCGTAGGCGACATCTGGACACGTACGATTAACAAGTGTGATCACGCAAAAAGTTCAGTGAGAAACGCCAACAGCGAACGCATGTGATATGCCACCAGTATGTCTGTAAACACTATGCATTTATCGCAGTCTTCTGCATAGTACATCGGACCTGGTATCGGTAGAATGCATGTTTATTTTTATTTCAATTAACGCTTTATTATTATTATTATTATTATTATTATTATTATTATTATTATTATAAATGCGAAGTATTTCTTAGCGAACTTCGGCGACTTTAAGCGTATCTATCTATCTATCTATCTATCTATCTATCTATCTATCTATCTATCTATCTATCTATCTATCTATCTATCTATCTATCTATCTATCTATCTATCTATCTATCTATCTATCTATCTCGCCGCCTACTATATTAAGCTCTCCTGGCCGTTTGGATAATGGTATACCAAACTTGGTATGGCATAACATGACTATATGACGAGCATATTTGACTATTCATAACATGAAAACCATGACATGTATGACATGAATGTCATGATTTACATTTCATGGTGTTGCTGCTCTTGCGGCGGTTTCGTTCACATGACATGTTGCAAAATTGGTATGGTATGACATGATTACATGGTGAACACAAGCGACAGACCCTAACACAAAAATCATGACATGCGTGTCATGTAATAACATGTATTATTATTATTATTATTATTATTATTATTATTATTATTATTCTTTCGGGAATAGATCAAGAAAGTGGAGACTTGGGTCCGTCCGGTGACACCTGTAGTGGGCACTGCCTACTCGTACGCATTGGTCTTCTTCAACAGGAACGACATGGGCAACACCCGAAAGCACGTCTCGCAGCTCAGAACGTTCGGACTTACACACCCGTGTGGGTACCATGTGACCGATCTCTTCGAAAATAGGTGATTATCATATATGACAGCTTTGTTCCAGCAGATTTCATATTGACTGTTTGTGCGAGTGTGGGCGTGCGCATACGTGCGAGCCGATTAATCAGTTATGATTGATATGTGGGGTTTAACGTCCCAAATCCACCATATGATTTTGAAAGACGCCGTAGTGGAGGGCTCCAGAAATTTCGACCACCTGGGGTTCTTTAACGTGCACCCATATGTGAGCACACGGGCATACAGCATTTTCACCTCCATCGAAAATGCAGCCGCTACAGCTGGGATTTGCTCCCGCGACCTGTGGATCAGCAGCCGAGTACCTTAGCCACTAGACCACCGCGGCGGGGGATTAATATGTTATGAAGAGTGGCAAATCAGCCGGGCTGGCAAAGTTAAGGAGCCAGAAATAGTGTTTTGTTTGTTTTGAAATTTCATCAACAGGGTACAGTGTAGTAAAACGAGCCGCTCAGATGATTTTCATACTTGCGTACTTTCATAGCGTGGGCTTCGTTCCGGCAGACTTTATAGGTAGCATGAGAGTGTTCATGTGTCAGCAGCCGCCTCGTGCAAATATCACGTGCTCCGCGGCACCAACTGCCAAATCATAGTATGCACACTCGACGCCAGGGTTTTAAATAGGGCTGGCTAACACTGCTAGGTTTAAGCACACGTTAATACCTGACAGAAATGTGGACGAGAGAGCAGCCTTCATTGTCAGGTCAGGTGAGGTTAATTTAATGTCTCAAAGACCCTCAGGGTAGTATGAAATAAGGGTGGGAGGGGTTACACGGCAAACAAATACGAAAGTGTTCTTTATACAATAAAATAATGTATTATTATAAAGCGTTTAGTACATTACTGTAACCTCGAGTGCCACGTAATTCAAAGGTTGTCGGTTCGAACCCCACCAAGAGAAAGTGTGATTTCTCGTTTACATTTATTTCTTTTTTTCGAGGGAGATCTTCGCAATACAGTTAAAAAACCACAAATAATGTCCTGTTCATTTATTTTGGTCTAACTCTGTATATTTCATTCGTAGGCATGTAGGTTACACAGTTCGGAAAGTGTAATGAGTACATTAATAAATTACCAAAGAGGTGAAGCCTGACTGGTGACACTGAATAACACACAATACCTTAACGACTAAGAGAAGAAACATGACACCTTCTGCAGTGGTGGTATGATGCGCAATGTGAGCTAGTAAGGCTTTAATGAGTGTTTTCAGAATGTTAACAAAAGTCCGATTAAATTTTTTATTGTTTTCAGAGATTACGATATTTTTTGTTAGCTTTAACATTAGATTCAATGCAACGTTCTTACGTCTTCTCTGTCTTAGCAAGCCTCTTGTGAGAGTAAAATTACGCGGAATATTGGGCAATTATAGCGCCCTAAATCAGTTTTCCCTCTAGTTTTATTTTAATGCCACACCATCGAAAAGCTAGGTGGTGGCGTTCGAGAAACTAAAAAATTATTCAATATTTTTTTTTCAAGTAACGTTAAGAAACGCAATAATGGTTACAAGAGACTTTGGCCATCAACCTTGAGCACGTGATCTTATTTTTATGTATTTATTGATTTACAAATAGTGCAACCCCATTAAGAGATTTTCGCAGGATGGGATACAAATATTTGATACATCTAGTAGGGCAAACAAAAACAATGAAAAACAAACTACATGTGATACGTGTGGTATAATATGAAAATAAGAACAAATAGTACGATTCAGCATTTCGCACATTAACGCTCTATGGCAACTTACGTTGGACGACTATTCTACGCAGGTATCTGGGCTTATATTACCCCGACAGTTTCCTCAAGGTACGAGTGAACCCATCGGGAGGCGTCGTCATGGTGAAGGCGGAGGCCGTGAGGCGGGCGCCTTTTGCATGTCTAAGACCGCGTCCAAAGTACCCACCAAAGCAACCGCAGTACGTTTCTGGCACCGTAAAGGGCATCGGCACGCCGGCAAACGGCACCATTTTGGTGGGATTACAACCCGTGAAGCCACAAGTGTCTCCTGGCCCAGAAATACCGCCCGAAATGGTCGCGATTCAAGGAGAACCAAACAACGCAGCACCGAATGGTAACGAGGAATAGCCACGCAGCCCTCTCTGCCGCCCCCTACCATCGTCAAGGACGTCGACTCATCTTACGGTTCCGTTGCAATCGTCCAAAGTATCAAGCAGAGGAGCTATAGTTTCTTATAATGTTGGCTTCACATCAAGACACAGGCAACGTCCTAGGTGTCATTTCGAAACAGTGCTAAAAGAAAAATCCACAAGGACAACTTGTCTTTTCCTCTTCCTTGGTGTTTTGTTATATTCTGTACTGTGGTGCAATGAACCCTTGCCAAGTGACTCAGCTTACCACGGTCGTAGGCCTATCATCGTCGGCATCGCGTCGTCGTTTGAAAGACTGCACTTGACCCTTAAAGCAATTATGACCGAAGTGATTCCTATGTGATGTGACCAGTGTTTACTTCAATGAATGAATGAATGGATAAACTTTATTTAAAGTTGGGCAGTTTTACTGGGCGAAGGCGGAAGACTCACAATAAATAACTTTATATATCAATTTATACGGATTTGACCAAAAAGCGATGGGGCACTGTTCCCAGATAGGCAAGAAACTCAAAGTGTCAATCCTCTTACGACAGGGCCTTCTATTCTACCATCAAAGGAACCGGTCGTCACTGTCAGCTTCGGGCAATCAGGGACTCATGATGACGCGGACAGGTACTCCCTGCCTGCTCCAACGTGGGTGTGGCCCGCAGGGGTCGAAGTAACACCCGGCTCTCTTCCCTCGGGGCTTAATAAAATCTATCTATCTATCTATCTATCTATCTATCTATCTATCTATCTATCTATTCTATCTATCTATCTATCTATCTCTATCTATCTATCTATCTATCTGTTCGTCCGTCTGTCTGTCTGTCTGTCTGTCTGTCTGTCTGTCCGTCCGTCCGTGTCCGTCCGTCCGTCCTTCTGTCTGTCTGTCTGTCTGTCTGTCTAGCCACCTACGACTTTTAGCTCTGCTGGCCATTTCGAGGGCGGTATCGACACCAAATTTGGTATGGTCTAACATGACTGTATGCCAAATAGCCAAGGAATCAAAGCAACATTAAAACATCACAGGTAATCGTGATTGTTTTACGGTTTGGCAGCGTGGTCATCAAACATTTTGCGATATTATATAGTCGAACTATGGTGTGTCCGATTCAAATGGCAAATGTCTGCTTCATTTATTGATTGCTTTTGATAATCTAACTGATGGTATCTTAACACAAACGTGTTCTATGCCGGGCTCCATCAATACTCCACTGACGTATTTCCATCCGGATATGGCGTTGTAAAATATAAACTAACAGATGACAAAGCATAAACTAGGGGAAAAAAAAAAGGCTCCTTTTCCGGGAGCTGGACGTACGACCTCTCCCTCCACAGCGAGCGCTGCGAAAGGACTCGGCCACAAACGGTACGTTTTGCAGCGTAATAACGGACACCATTTACCCTTGGCGGTACTCAGAGCTCAGTAACGCTTTATGTTCTCGGAATTACGAAAGGTCGTCACTACGCGCGTTGCGGTGTGCGCACCTCAGCACGGCGGCGTTGCTCGTGCACACGCGCTTATTTCTTGATGGGGGCGGTTTGTACGTGTTGTGCTTTCCGTGCAACTTTGAGAAATCACAGCACGAAAGTCACTTCACTCGCTGCAACAGCCGCGTTTGTGAAAGAAGCAGGCTACTTGCACTCGAAGAAGTAACAAGTGTGGGAGTTCGCGCTCGTTCTGTGTACGCGTGCACTCGTTTCGAACTTTCTTCTTTGTGTTTGAGCAGCGCGCTTCAAGTGTCGAGCTGTGTTAGTTGTTGGCTAACAAGCATCTATGTACGCCCTTACTGTTTGTGGAGTGCCCTGCAAGTATCGAGCTGAATGCCGTTCTTCGTGTGATATTAAAATTTGTTTATTTAGCATTCATCCACAACAAACGTTGAACTACCTCTGAGACGACACGTTTCATTGTCGTGTTATACCAATTTCTATGACAGAGGGATGAGCCACGTTTTTTTTTCACCTAATCGTTTTCATTTGAAGGAGTAGCCTGCTCCTGACGTAATCTGGAGTATCAACTATAGACTCCTGAATAACATGTGTTGACTGAATAACCCATAATAGTATAGAAACTGTTCGCTCAAAACTAGACGTTTCAGTGGAGCTTTGCAATAAATAATGATATCTGTGGTTTAACATATTAAAACCACGATATGATCATGACAGGCGCCGTAGTGGGGGGCTCCGGGGATTTATACCATCTGGTGTTTTTTAACGTGCGCTGTCATTGCACAGCACATGAACCTCTATTATTTCACTTCCGTCTCAATGCGACAGCCACAGCCGAATTGGAGCCAGTGACCTTCGGGACAGCAGCCGAATACCCTAACCACTATATGTCTTTTATCCAGTGGCCGTGCCACTATTCTTCCGTGGTGGACCAACGGAGCTTTTTTTACCGTTAGAGCAAGTTGATGAGTGGTTTCGTTATTCTTAAAAGTCGATTTCGTTCTAGAGTAGCTTTTCTGTTTCCACGAAAATTTACCGAACTCTGCTGTTGTTCATAGTAAAAAAAAAAAAATCTTACAAGGACACTTCCTTCCAGAAAACATCTGCCCTGATGTGGTTTGTGAAGCTTGTGCACCGCACAGCACAAGGGCCTCTAGCATTCCGCTTCTTTCAAAATGCGACCAGCCGCAGCCCAGACCGACCTTCGGGTCAGCACCCGAGCAGCACAACCGCTACGCTACCACGCCGGCAGACGGGACCCAGTCGTATGTTGATGCCCAAACCGACCCCTGTGTGATGATAATTGGGCTGATGACGATGAAAATGATGACCATGATGATCACGGACAACGACTGGCTTGTGCAGTATATGACGTCTCGATATGCTTTCCGATGCATTTCGTAGGACTGGAAACACCCGCCACCAGGAGAACGTGCAGAGATCTCGGCTTTGCCAACCTCAGGTTAGATCCAATATCACAAAGTAGCGGCATGAAGGCAAAATGAAATTCGCTACTCAACACAAAAAAATACCATTTATGACCAATAAACCGTGTACTATAACTGTACCTTGCTTTATCACTCATTTACATGCGTGAGTGTTTAAGTCACGGGTGATTTATGGTGACACCGAACGATTTCACTGCTTCGCCCTCTTATCATAACTCACTTCGTACATATGTTTTTTTTTTCGTTTTTGCAATACTATCTATGTTACCACACAATAGCTCGAAAGTTCATCACCATCAGTAATGAACGTACCTCTGCGATATCTCTGAGCGGGAACGAAATAAGTCTCAAACACGTACACGTAATATCGTTATATTGAGACAACCGTATCTTATCGGCATCTCGATAACAAACGTCCCACTGGAGAGAGGCGCTTTCGACGTTTCGCGGGAATCTGCGTGAGCCACATTTGCCGCACGGAAACGCCACAATGGCTCTCCCGCAGCTGCCGTGGCTTTCCTGGACGCTCGTTTACCTGCTCGTTCTGGGAGCCCAGTCCCTGGAAAACGGCTTGGCTCGCACTCCACCAATGGGCTGGATCACGTGGACCAGATTCATGTGCAACCAGTGCGCCCTCGGCCTCGATGAAAACTGCCTCACGTGAGTCGGCCAGCAAGGCTGCCCGTGTGAAAATACTCCTAGGCTAATGAACAATATGATCGGTAAGCTACAGAGTTATTAGCAACGACCAAAGAAATCGGTACCAATTGTATACGCCATGAAAGAAGTTCGCCAGGTGCTGTCTTCGTTAGGTTGGAGTCATGCAACGCTAGAGATTGCTCCAACATTGGCCACTCGAAGCTTTTGGCGAGAAGGCATATAATAAATATTTAGCGTTATAGTGATAGCAAAGGACACAATGTGATCTGCTGAAGATTTGTGTTTTCAACCACAACAAGCAAAACACGATGTCCTGTTTAAACCTGGCAAAGTGTTGTTGATCCTGCGACTCGGTGCCAGCAAAGCTTTCTGGCAGGTTTCTTTCTCTGAAAGCATGTGTGACGGTTAATCCAAAAAAAGGCAGAACTTCAGAGGAAGATGGAAGAGTGAAGAAATAGAAAATTTGTTATCAGACGGGGTTGCCGGGGCCGACTTTTTGACAAGTGGACCTGTATTCTTCAAGGCTTCAACTGATCTCTTCAGGCAGTGCGTGTGGGTATACAGTAAAAGCTCGTTAATGAAACCCCAGTTAATTCAGAAAGTCGGATAATTCTGACACGTTCGGATGTTTCTGGAAAGCATATCTATCCCCTAATATGACATCAAACTTTTATTTGTTCGGTTGTATCTGGCCGCAATACGGTTAAATTCGTACAATCCTCGAAGCACAGCAAGAACAAAACGCTGCAAACGTGCGAAGCAAATGTGCGACGCGAATGAGCGAAAATGGCACTCACAAACAACCGAAACAGCCGCGGGCATTTAGAAAGGCATGGTCGCCATCCACAATCTTACCCCAATCACCTTGTTGGTGGCCAAGACTTCATCATCTGCAGCATATGTTTTTTTTTTATTTTACTTGGCGCACGCCAACTATGTAGGCTCTGTATATATCACGTCCACAGCGACCGTGGTCAATTAAAGCTAAGAGGCGCATTAGTTTTGTTTTCACCTCTTGCCTTCAGAACTGCGAATTCACTATCCATGATGTAAGTACATTCGCGAGCAAGGTTAATTCAGCAGTAGATGTGGTGCCTGCTTGCTACATGGTGATGAACGACCAGTTGCCAGCCAAATTTGCGCGGCATGCAAACGCGCGCACACACCCACACACCCACACGCACACACACACCCAATCACCCAAGCACGCGTACACACAAGCACCCACGCTAACACACATACACACGTGATATTGATGGCGGTGGTACGTAATAATGGATGGATTCATAGCACGTTACCGGGTCACATTGTGAATGAAGTCTCGATCTGCAAAATTCCCTCTATTACACTACTCCTGTGTAAAATCAGTGCTAGATTCGCGAATTCATCGTGAAAATGAGAATTCACTGATGTAATAGAAACTTATTTATTGCTTTCTCGGTGCTTCCGATGATTCTGCATTTGATTAATTTGGACATTCTAACTGATCCCGTGAAATCCAAATCAACGAGCTTTTACTCTTTATGGCTCTTATCCTCTTCTCCGATTCAAACAAAAGAGCAAAGGGCGATTGTGGAACCATAGGTGAGAGGGGTGAAGGAGAGGAGAAGCCGGCGTGCCACATTGGGCGAATCAAAAGGAAAGAGGAAATTGCGTGTGCTAAAAATAGTGAACCTAACGCGCGCTAGAAGAGAAAAGCGAGGAATGGCACGTGCCACGAGCATCTTGGTTATTTTTGTCGCTGGAATAAACTATATAGCGTCGAGACGCACTGCTTTATCTCTCTAGGCGTATTTGTCCTTAACGCCTGGTTACATACGAACGAAGTATTTGGATTCAACAGCGTCGAAAACAAAAGAAAGAAAGCTAAGGAACAGGCGTGCTTATTCGCGTCCCGATTTAAAAGGGAGGTTGGCCTTTTGTTGGAGTATCATTTTCTGAAGGAAGCATCATATTACAAAGATTATTTCGCAGTGATAAACATGCATGGTTATAAATTCCATGAATAAAGTTTATTCTGTTGTCTAGAGTGTATTATAATGATGAATAAGATAAGACTATCTATATTTTCTGGCTCTCGAGTAGCTGAATTAAGACCGAAGTACGCAAATAATGAGATTGTCGAATTGGCGACCTGCCAAACTGAAATAGTCTCACACTGGTTTCATCGTGCCGGCACGATCCTCGTCTAATCTAACAGACTGTCTTGTTTCACCAGTTCGCTGTTCGTGACTATAGGAGAGAGGGAAAGCCCTTAAATGAGGAAGAAGGAATCATTCCGGCGTGTGTAAAGGCGCCTACATGTCCCCAGGCCAGTGTCGTTACCAGGGGTGGTACTCCCCCCAGAAATTTTTTCGCCCTGACATATACGGCATAAAATGACACTTGACCACATCTGCCTGCCTGGCGCCCACTTCGTATCAAGGTGGTGCCAACCACCCTCCCTTTCTTTTTCCCCCAAAACACCTGGGGAACGTAGAGAATGGAAAGGCCTTAAGAGGCGTAGAGCAAAAGAAAGAGAAAAAAGGGAAAATTTTGACCACATTTCATCATGTCGATAACGTGTGAATTAGTGCCCGTAAAGCTGGATTTTATTGATGGACGTAATCACCTCCGGTGTTTTTAACGTCATCTTGCAGGTGTTTGCCAGTTGATCACATGACGAAAGTGACCCACCTTCACGTGGGATGGCAATGTGTCACCCTTGAATACAATCTTTATGCAACGCGGGTCACTCAGCCATGAGATTTGGACAATGTTGCTATGGTCACTAACTTCCTTGATCGGCATTGGACGGTCGCTAAAATGAATGGAGATGTCCACATCGTATATCACACCTAGCACCATGCCACTGCAAAGTGGAATGTGAGGTTGAACTTTGATACCATCCAAGTCTTAGATCAGAGATGCCTGGTGTCTCTAGAGAAATCAGAGCAGCCTATACAGTGTACGATGTCGATGGCCAATACATTCTTGCGGGGGTTCACTCGAACATCCTTGATTTTTTTGAGTGCCAGAATTTTGAGTTTATTTGAGATCCTCAGTAGATTCAGGAGCCTTAAATAGTCTGATAGTGTTACTGGTACAAATAAGACAGTGTAGTTAGTCGAAGCTAGCTGCGGCTTCACAGCATATGGGTGCAGTAGAAGGTGGTCACGCACCCAGCGATCTTCGTTCTTGTTTACAACTGTAAACAGGCTTGAAATAATCCCTGCAATCGTCACTGTCTGCCGAAAACAGTTTGGTGGACTCACTGTCAGCGTCGCTGAGTTCGCTGCTCCGTTTTCTTGACTAGCATGTTGACAGAGGCATGGCTGGAGGGTGCGCAGGCGAGTCTTGATTGATATATAGGGTTTAATGTCCCAAAACTACCTTACTGTTATGAGAGGCACCCTAGTGGAGGGTTCCGGACATTTCGACCGCCTGGGGTTCTTCAACGTGCAACCATATCTGAGCACACGGGCCTACAGCATTTCCGCCTCCATCGAAAATGCAGCCGCCGCAGCCGGGATTTGATCTCGTGACCTGCGGGTCAGCAGCCGAGTACCTTAGCCACTGGACCACCATGGCAAGTCATGTGCAGGCGAGTTTACTTCCAGTGTAGCCAAATAGAATACTGATGGCTGCACGAGAAACATGAAAAATCGACAGTAACTGTCACCCTATAAACAAAGCGCAGTGCAAGAGGCACGCCGAACTGGATAAGTGTGTGCATAACGTTGTCTGTCTTTTAACTATATACGTCCCATGGAAGAGCTATTTGGTTCGCTTTGTTCTCAGGTATTTCCTCTGTTAATGTGTTCCAATCATTACGGACGTAGAATGAGTAACCGTGCTGTCCTATGGGCAAAGTGAACTGCGTGAGGGAAATGAACTAGCAAAGCGACAATTGTGGATACAGACATTGAATACAAACATTGGATACAGACATCGGGACCAAATAAAACGTCAAGACATTAAGCAGCTGCTCGACACTCTCTGTATTGATCAGGAAGTTGTATAGACCATCCGGCAATGATGTGCGTTTTGCTGCTGAATAAAACGAATTAATGCCGTTAGTTGAATTGTATTTAGTTTGAAGAACCAACAGGAAAAGAGGGACGTGGTCTCAAGTTGGTGAGTGATGAGAATGGAGAGTTTAGGCGATAATGATGTTAAATATTGCAATGCGCCAGACATAGACGTTATGAGTAAAAGCAGAAGTGACAGGTCGTTAAGGGTGTCCCGTTTTGGGCCTTTATTTCTCACCCTTGCAACTAACAACACTGAGCACTTGAGCAAGACACTTTGAAATGGAAACATTTCATCACTGGCATAATTTTGTGCCTCGAACATTTTTATTGCGCACGTTTTTTTCTATGGTGCAACATGAGTAACAAGTATCATGATAATTCAGCCATCTTGTGTTTTTTCCCTGCTTTAGCCAGAGGCTTATCACTGAAATGGCCGACCGCTTAATGTACGATGGCTACAAGGCTGCTGGCTACGACTACGTGATTATTGATGACTGCTGGAGCTTCTATTATCGAAGCCAAGGGAAGCTGATTGGAGATACGCGGCGCTTTCCACGGGGCATGAAAGCAGTCGTTGACGAGGTATTATTATAATCATTTGCTCTGCTGCGATATCGGCTGACCTGATAACACTTTGCTGTCGTTCTTTTTACTATGTGTCAAGGTTCACGGCAGAGGACTAAAGTTCGGCATCTACACCGACATTGGAACAAAAACTTGCGGAGGCTACCCGGGAAGCTATGGCTATTACAAAACGGACGCCAACACCTTCGCTGATTGGGGAGTCGATTACGTCAAAGTTGACGGCTGCTCTGCGGATCCCAAGCAGATGGATGACCGTAAGCTCTCGTGCTGGCGGCTCAAATGAAGGGCACTGATCTGTGCGATCCGCTTTCAACGGCAGCTTCAGGCTGTCCGGAGCAGCAGTTTGCTGTGAATGCATGCTTGTGTTGATAATTGAATGATGAAACTCTGACGCTAATGGCCCTGTTTGCCCATTCATTTCATAAATGCCGGAAATTGGAAGTGGCTATGAAGCGTACATCTCGTTTCCACGCAGTTACCGTATAAGCGGCTAACTGAGATTTCAAATAAGAGCTGTGGACAGGAATGAAGCCTCAATTTAAATCTACTTTTTTTTCTGTTGAACAATACTTTCCAAAACTCACTAACTGCATAAATATTACTGAGACGCTTAATTGTTATTACATGCATAGAATGCGGCATATTCATGAAACACGCAGACACGTGAATCAGAATAGTCTGCCGACAAGACCACGGCATGCCTGCGGGGACGGCGTGACGCCTGAACCTGTCAAGTGTATTGACGTCCATACTAGTCCAGCTTTCATTTCATGTGACATTGTCTCATGGCGTAATCTCTTGGTCGTGTGACCTTGCAACTTAATCTGTTTACTTTGCACTTTATGACGCGATTACTTGTGTGTGCGTCGGAATCGAGGAAAGTCAGTATCGAGGGTGAGCCACCAAAAACTTAGCATAATTCAAGTAAATTTTCGAGGTGGCTCAAGATCGATTTCTTTTTTAAAGCGGGTCAACTCAGCTTTCAAAATGCGAACCAAAACTCGCGTGGAATCTTCGCTTTGTCACGTGAGTAAGTTTTCCTCATGCTATAGATAGTGCTTTCGCATTTAAGGACACTAAAAAAAACGATACTTCTCGTGTTAGTAAATTACATCCTCACGATATCAAAAACACCCCTCTCGCTGCTAGAAGACAGTTGATAAGCGATTAAACAAGCAAAAAAAATGTTCAGGTGTTGGCTCCACTTTGAAATTACCACACCAGTCACCATGACGTCATGCACATCGACAGCTTAAACTAGGGCCTGCGTAGCCCCTCATAGGTAGAAATGAAGTAGTCCATCTCCATGGGAGTCACAGATTGAACATAATGAGTTTCGGAGAGAGAGAATAGGGATGAAAGAAAGGCAGGGAGGTTAACGATGGCTGAGCCTGGTAGGCTACCTTGCACTGGAGAGGGGGTAAGCGGAATAAAGTTAGAGAGAGAGAGAGAAGGAGAGGAATGTCAGTCATGCCATCGACAAAACGGCAGTTATGTGCTTAACATCACAGACGGCCAGTCGCATCCGTGCCCTAATCAATTGAGCACATTCGTTGCATTAACTTGAATGCGCGGTTCCATGCACCGAACATCTTGCCGATGGTGAAGCCATGATGGTGCCGCTTTCGTTCTCAAGCAGCAGACTTCTGAACGCTTGCGAGAACTGGAGTAATGGTGTCAAGCAGCTGCAACACGTTTTGAGCTGTCGGTGTCTGCATCTTGCTCAGCAGCACGCGCATAGCACTGACCAGGGTGCTGACCATGCATAAGGCTTCTCATGTTGTCACTGGCGAGAACTGGCATGAAAAGAATGGTTAATACCTCGGTATTCCGCGAACATCGCATGGTGGGCTCACTCGAGTTGACTGACGTGTTCAGAAATCATTTTTTTCCTTGTGGTTTCTCACAAACTCGGAGTTGTCGTCCCCTGATTCGTCACTGCTGACGTATAGGGCTTGGTGTCATCACTGTCAGGGCCGCACTCAGAGCTGTAGCGCTTCCTGGAAGCAACACCCGTGGTCATTCCGGAGTCCGGCAGTCTTCCGTAGGGCTCTACCTCCATCGCACATCAGCAGGAGACTGCGCTTGACAGGCGAAATGAAAATTATGCACAAAAAACCGTGGAACTCAAACGTTCGACATTCTGCCACACCGGCACTTCCAACTAGTTTCAGGAAATTTCGTTGGGCCAATAGGGCCAAATAACTAAGAAACAAATAAACTGTGAAATTCGTCCTGTCACTACGAGAGATTTTAGTAGGAAATCTAAAAGTGATAAATTGCACAAGGGTTTGGTGAAGGGCTATTCTCCTCAGTATCACTGAAAGGAATGCTTCTGACATTGATTGCCTTATCTATTAATAAACTTGTGAAATTAACAGCACTCATGTTGCAGAGTATATGTCTATTAGCATATATATAATATATATATATATATATATATATATATATATATATATATATATATATATATATATATATATATATATATATATATATATATATATATATATATGAAGAAAGAGAGAGCGAGTTTTTACACACATCGTCGTCTAATTCATTTGCTGCAGTCTACACGGAAATGGGTGAAGCCCTCCGCTCAAGTGGAAGAGACATGGTCTACTCATGCGAGTGGCCACTGTACCAGCAGAAAGCTGGAATTATGGTGAGCACGCTTGAAATTCTGCTAGCGTCCTGCGCTTTCACTTGGTTATTAACGGGTCATCACCGCACTGTGCTAGCTAAGCTTCACCGTATGCACCCCCAGCGCAATTAGGAAGTGGCCTGGGTGCAGGCTAGTGTTGCAAACGGGAGCTGCAGTGGTTCAGCGGTGGTGCCATGCGTAATTAGTCCTCGAGATATACAAGCCTGAAAGCCTTGCCTTCGTTCCTGGACTTCCGCTTGTAGTAACTTATGATCTGACCAATGCGAAGATCCTTCTGGAACAGCTGTGTCACGTCTTACGCTGAAAATAGACATTTTTTATCACTTCTTGCGAAAGAAGCCTTGATACGAAAATATCTTTGGCCGACTTTAATGTTCCTTGTAAGTGGCGTTAATGGCTTGAGCCCCTAGCGTTTGAACTTTCGGTTCACTTGGAAATACCTTAGTTTAAGGTTTGGTCATCCGCTTTTATAGATTCAGTGTATAATCATCCAGCATTGGCCCATTCACCGTAATCCACTTTAAAGAGTCAACTGATGAATGAAAAGTAAGAAGTAAAGAAAAAGAAAGAAAAGAGGAAGAAAACGGAAACAGAACTGCTAGCCAGTCTAAAAGTACTGGCATGCTATCTTACAACTGAAAAAAAAATATTGAGGGATTTTCAGAGATATAGAGAAAGAAAGAGAAAGCAATTACGTTGTGCATCGTGACAGTACATAACGCCACTCATTTATTAAACCGATTCAATTAGTTTTCATTACCGATCTTGAGAGTTAATGGACCCTTATGTGCACTGAAGTTACGCTTCGATATTATATTTACTCTATACAGCTCTTCATATCAACCATTGCCTCCTTGATATATGAATTTCTTCCTTTTTGTTCATTTTAGATTGCGGTCTTATAACGTTCAACTTTCGGTTCACTCCTGGCGAATAGCGCTGTTCTCCCTCAGAAATATAATGACGCTTAGTGCCAGCGCAAAAAAAAAGATTACATCTTGGAATAGCAAATACCGCAACAAAGTTGGAATAGGAACAGCAAGAAGAAAATGACAAAGCGTTGACCATAATCTCATGTCCGTATTCTAACCATGTTGTGTTATTGTTGCATTGTTATTTTATGATGAACGTTCATGAACACTCCCAAACCATGACTCTACCTTTAAAAAATTACGTCTTGACGTTGAGCACACATCGCAATGTAATGGCTATACAGTGGTTAATTACCACACCCAAATATCCGCAAGTGGAATATAAACAAGTTGGAGAACGCACACGGATTCATGAGAGGAAGTCTTTTTTCTAATTCATTAGCACGCATTGTGACATCCCACAGCTGTTATTGTTCATATCGACAGTGTGAGGTAATTGACGTGGCCTTCGTTATAGTCAATGATAAAGATCCAGCAAATACTGAAGCCAAAGAACGGTATAGGGGATGTAATTTGTAATTTTTTAAACTGTAATGTTGATAATATATCAACGCGAAAAAAATTAAAGTCAACAAAACGAACAGATGCCGCCGGCAGAGACAAAACCTGCAACCTTCGCAAAACGCACCTGATACCAACGGAGCAATGGTGGCCGTGGTCCTCTCATCCCCTTCGTCGGGTAGACGCGCGCATACATCAACCTGGGAGTGTTAGCGTCGTTCGTAGCCACCACGGAGCGAGCGGAATGCTCCTTTTAGCCAGCTGGTCTCACGTAGCACGTGATCTTTACGAGCTGTTGGCTGACCAATAAGCCTTCGGACACTACCTGAAGGCATAGTGTCTACCGCAGCGTGACCTTCGTTATCAATAAATGAAAGCTAAATGGCGTAAGGGCTCGTTTCTTTTTTTTTTCTTTGCTAGACACGTAGGTCAGCAAAAAATTTTGAGCTGACTCGAACTCACCTTGTACTTGGGTTTTACTCACTCATACTTACTCAGCCAAATTTTCTTCATCCGGACTAACTCGGACTCAGAATCACTGAAATGTTTGTAAAGCGGACTCTCCCAGGCTCAACTTCAGCAAAGTATTACTCCCGGGAAATTACTCAAGCCGAGGCTCATGGCTAGATCTGTTTCAAGGAATTGAATCATGAGCGGGTTCGCTGACCTATCGCTATAGACACGACCCCCATCAAAAGCGAACAGAGAATGAAGTCTATACTTTCCTTGGTTTTATTCTTCGACGGTTTCTGTTAAGCTTGTGTTTAACCGACACAAACGAGTCCTTGAATGTTCATCCCTTTATGCTAATTTTCACTTAGATATATTTTCTACCCGACTTTTCCTTCCTCAGTTCGGGCCAGTGACCTGGGTAATTCTCTTACTGTTAACCTCTCTACTCTTCGCATATTATTCGCGTATGTCGTTCTATGCGTCTAATCTCATCTCTCTCACTCTACTTAGCCCAACTACAAGAACATCTCGAAAACGTGTAACCTGTGGCGGAACTACGACGACGTTGGCTATTCATGGGACAGCATCTACGACGCGGTCAAGTACCAAGCCGCCAACCAGGACGTATTGACGGAAGTGTCGGGGCCTGGAGCCTGGACTGATCCCGACGTGGCACGTAATTCGCTCACTCGAAGCGCACATAACGGGAGCCGCTCCCAGAAAACCTGTGAGCCAGGCTAACGTGTACAGGATACAGTTTAGGTGTGCACCTTCCTGGCACATCCAAAGCAACAGCTTTTACTGAACATATCTAGAGTGCGGAATGGCATTATCGAGAATATCTTTCTTTCGACACAGTTTTTTAATGGATAATTAACAGGAAATCATGGGGTAGAGAAGATTGCCCTTGATAGGTCTTTAGCTTTTAAATAAGGATGGAGATTATGACATTGCCACAGAACAGAATCCACTTATTGAATTCATGGGCTAACAAAATTTCTAACTTTAAAGAAAGAAACATTGCAGTTAAAGATCAGGAGCGTAGCTAGGAGGTGGCACACCAGGCCTGTTTCCCCCCCCCCCCCCGAATTTTTTTTCAATGACAGAGAGATAAAGAGAGAAAAACGACCATATTAAGGGGGTGCCCTCTCCGAAATCAAGAAGGAAATCAAGGAAAAAATCAAGGACGTCCCCGCCCCCCACAGAAAAATATTTGGGACTACGCGCCTGTTAGAAATATACCTTGAGGGTGTCTAAAGGAGTGTACGGCGTTCAGCTTTATGTATACGCTTTTTTTTCACCACGAAGTGTTTTATGCCAGGTTCTACCAAGACTTGAAAGACGCATTTCCTTCCCGGAAGGGGCGTTGGAAAAATACGCACGACCAAAAGACCAAAAGTTCTATCATCGGGAGTCGACCCCATGACATTTGGGTTCGACCCCCGATGACGGGCATGGTCACCACTGTGCCATGGTGGCAGGCTCTTAAGCTTTAAAAATACGCATTTTATATTACCTCAGTCCTCTCAGTGTTCTTGGATAAGTGCAGTAATGCATCATGACCATGACATTCGCAATTAGTCCCTCAACGTTTCGTTTCTAGGCTTCTGTCTCATGCGATGCGTTTCTAAAAGGAGTATGTGCAATATTGTCAACGCCAAACATACCCCCGGGTGGCGATGTCACCCTAAACATCGGTGTCACCAAAAAAAAAAAGGCTGTGCAACACATAGAGCAACGTGCCTGCAACGGGAAGTGTCCTATACTTAACCCTCAAACTAATTAAATATGATGAATGAAGGAGATTTCAGGGAGAGAGGGCGGGAGGGACTCGGAAGGGCTATTTTTGTCAGTCTGAGCATCAGGGTATTCTGGACTTCCCTGACTACCTTCCCCGCGCTCATATTTGTACTACTGCTTGAGCTCACAGTGATGTCATTCACATATGTATAATGCCATGGGCGTATAAAACAATAAACTCCTCCTACTTGTACATTTAAACTTCGCCCAAGAAAAACTTGAAATACATATACTGGCTTGCGTGTCCAGTCACAGCCTAATACCTCGTTGCGCGCCATTACATGGTCGCTTGGCAACACTGAAAGCGCGCAAGACTCTTCAAGATATTTCCAAAGTGGGCGATAGAAGTATTCTTTACTACTTGAAGTTTCAGTACACTCAGTCTGAATAAACTTCAGCCGATGCCTGCTTGACCAACGATACCTCTGGAATAAATTTGAAGGCATTGTGCTTTTTTGAATGTGCAACTTGATCTTTTATTAAGTCTTGCTCTTTCATCTCATTTCACATGAGCTGATATGTTAACATATGCATTTCTCCTGAAGTGTTGCGCACGCTATGCATTTTATAAATGGTGAAATGTGTTTCAGATAGTCGCTGGCAACTATGGCTTGACCATCGAGCAGCAGCGCATCCAAATGGCTTACTGGGCCATACTGGCGGCACCTATGATCATGTCAAATGACCTCCGAAGCATTAACAGGAAATCTAAGGAGCTACTCCTCAACAAGTACATAATCTCTGTTAACCAGGATCCGCTAGGACTGATGGGGAGGCGCCTGTCTAAGGTAAAAAAACTCGTCTTTGGTACTGTTAGCCCTCGGGTTACTTGGCTTTAAAAAAGTCAATTTTTTTATTATGATATGTTTTCTGAACTCAAGCCTAATTCTGTTATCACCTGAATAGTATGCTGCGATAAACAGGGAAAAATATAACGACTTGTAAGCCATTGACAAAATATTTCACGAAAACCCCGAGGACATGTAACGGCCACCATAGAAGACGAGTTTACAGCTTCAATGTTATCGAACTTGGCACAGAAACTAAAAACCAAAGTGCGTCACTAAGGAAGCGTCTCCGCCGTAGCGTCAGCAATATTCCTGCAAAAAAAAAATAAAGTGTACCGCTGCTTAGTAATTCCAATACCCCTGCTAGCTAAGCCATAAATGTCTTTCAGGGAGACGGGGTGGAGGGTTCAATTATACTTTGGGTACACTCGTGTGGGTGTTTGTATATGTGCGTGTATTTATACGTATGTAAAACCGAAAATTTCGAATTGATTTGAACCCCGAACTCTCCTTCATACCCAGGCTACGACAGTGACATTTCCGTTTGGTACCTCAGTTTCAAATAATTTGAAATTGCTTTGGGCTTCTCTCCAGATAAATAACACGGAGCTATGGACCAGGTGGGTTGCTCCCAAACTGCCTGACGGTCGTATGTCCCTGGCTGTGCTGGTGCACAACGCAAACGTTTGCGGTGGACCTTCAAGAGTAGTGCTTGGAATATCGGACCTAGATCTGGACAGCCCAGGTGGTTATCAAGTCACGGACTTGGTTCAGAGCAACACATTTATTGGAGTGTTCTACCCAGGCCATAGCATCACTGTTACTGTGCCACCATCGGACCTTTTCTTCTTCAAGGCCACTGTCATTAAAGAATGAGGAAAAAAATTAGTAGAACATCTGGAAAAGTGTGAAAGTTTGTATATACTCATTACTTTAAAATACATTTGAAGTACACTCAAATAATATGTATAAGATTCTCCGTCGCTTCCACTGGCTGTTTTTTGTTGCAGTATTTGCAGAGCATCACTGTTTTAATGACTAGTTGACTGGTTTAAAAAGGCCACAGAACAACACTGACGAACATTTCTTTAGAATAGTCAAGAGTCCGACGGAATCCCGTCTGGTCGGGGAGAAACATAGTTAAAAATAATAAAAACGCTGACCAAAGTAAAATGCACGAAAACTGTGAACAAGGCTTCCGTGTAGGGAGCCGAAATGTCTTTTTAATTTTTGTGTACTTCACTTTGGTCGGAGTTTTTATTATTTTGCATATTTTTAGAATACCGCATTATTATATGCTGTTCCAATGCAGGCTACCTCACATATTAGTTATTTAAATGATTAAGAAGATGTATGCAATGACCTTCCAGGTGAAAGGGGTCGGATGTTGGGAGCAATGTTTTGCCTAGGCTTCAATGGCACTCGTGTTCTCGGGCAAGTTCGTGCTCGTATTTCCATCATGCAGCCAGCTCGGCTCCAGGGTTCTGAAGAAAAAAAAATATGTAGCACACAACAACACAAGGGCAGCCTTGTGGCACAGCACAAGGCCACCTCGCCGTGGCGCCCTCTTCTGACACATTCTTTCCTCCTCACACTCGCTTCAATTTCCCGCCCCTTACTTCAGACTATTCCCCCCCCCTCCTGTTTGTCTTCGTCACCTTCACTTTCCTTTCCCAACGCATTGGTATATTGCACTATGCTCGGCTATGCTGTGGCCTACCATCCCCTAGTCATTTCTCTCCTCCTAACCATGAATGATCTTTCCCACCCTTTGCTATACTACACTACGTGACGACATTGCCTTTCTATGCTGGCCAGGCCTTGCTTTACTTTTTTTTTAGCCCCGCCGCGGTGGTCTAGTGGCTAAGGTACTCGGCTGCTGACCCGCTGGTCGCGGGTTCGAATCCCGGCTGCGGCGGCTGCATTTCTGATGGAGGCGGAAATGTTGTAGGCCCGTGTGCTCAGATTTGGGGGCACGTTAAAGAACCCCAGGTGGTCGAAATTTCCGGAGCCCTCCACTACGGCGTCTCTCATAATCATACGGTGGTTTTGGGACGTTAAACCCCACAATTCAATCATGCTTTACTTTTTACCCTCCCCATTGTCCTTGTCACCCTATCGCTATTTCTCACCCCAACTTCTCTTTCCTGCCTTTTTGCTATGCTATCTATGGCTATAGCTTTAGGGAGCTTGCACGAACGGCAGTGGTGGGACTCGCGGCAATTTTTTCATAGAGAGTCGAGCCGCCGATAGCGCGCGCTGCAGCAGCTCTCCCTCGAGCGGGGCTGGCGCGATGGTGCTCTGTGTGATTGTAGGATTTAGCAGTTTCAGCCGAGGGAAGGCGAATATATTGCAATCCAAGAAGAATGTTTGCTGCTAATCTAATAGACCGGCTATATGCTTCAATGAGAGACACAAGGAGCTATTGGAGCGGCGCCGGCGCGAATGGCTCGCTCGCATTAACTGGCGATCCCTCTCCCTTTCTTTTTTTCTTTCTCCTCGCCGTCATATCTCACCTCCTCATTCTTATTTCCTTTTCCCACCGTGTTGCTATGGCTACGCTACACATGGTTTTACCTGCGTGACGTCCAGTGACATGAGGGGACGATGACAGGACACGATGACAAGATATGACAGCCTGCGACCCCCTGGACGCCTAAAAGTCGTCCACACTTTCGTCCACACATAAGAGCATAAAACACTATTACCTTCCACAAACACCGATAAGCGCAAGCGGGCATGTTACTTAAAAAACTGTAGAAAAAACAAGAAAAAATAACTAAATATAAGGGATACCCTGTCGCTATAGCATAAAAAGTTTCGCCGCAAGGACGAAGCAATGAATGCGATAGCAACAACTTGGAATGTAACGCTGAGAACGGCAAACAGATCGAAACATGCAGTGCGCTGCTCACTCAAAATGCACGATAACAAGAGACACGAACGAGAGCTAGCTAACAACGTTTACAGCTCGACACTTTACGCGCTGTTTAAACAAAAAACGACGCACGAAACGTAATCAAAGGCACAGATATGAGTGTGAACTAACAAGTGTCCCAGTTGTTACTTCGCTGTGTTTGAAAAGCGCGCTCTTTTTGCAAACGGGGCCTGTACAGCGAGCGAAATTATCATTGTGCGCCCGCCAAATAAACGCAATTGTTCCGGTCAAAGCCGAAGGCGCGCAATTCTTCCCCGCGACAGGATTACAAATCTTTCTCAAAGCAAATCCCCCCCCCCTCCAACCACAGACTTTATACAAATCATTCTCAAAGTCAGCGAGAAGTCACTCCCTTTCCTCTCGACAAATGATGCCATAAACCCAAATGTCCATGCGGTAAATTAACCTTAACGGCCATTAGCTGATTTTAGCATCGTGAGCAGCATAAATAATGCAGCCGTCGTGGGATGGCAGGACACTCGCTCACTCGCGGTCCCACTTAGAGGAAGCCAAGCGTGGGAAGGAAAAAAAGTGTTTGAACATCGTGACGCGTGCTGACGAATGAACTTTACCACTTGCGTCATTGTCATCCCACTTCCGTGCGCAGCTTTCAACGCTCTCGCAGGACCTAAATCACGAAAGGAAGCCCCATGAAGTTCACCGAAGGCCCCTGGGCGCACCCTAACCCACCACTACCTTGGTGAAATAGTTGAGCATTCGCCGCTGCTGTGGAAGGCAGACAATTGCTGCCGCCATGGCACCTACTAAGCTGATTAGGTACAAGCGAACTTCCGGCCTGTTGCTCAGCAGAACAAAGTTATTGTCGTTTGGGAGGCACCCATCCCATGGGAAATTAGCGGCATGGCACAACAAAACGTGAAATTAAGGTCATTCTTTTTTTTTTGCACTTCTTTTCCACCCGAGCACCGTCCGGGTGGAAAAGAAGATGGTGAAGCATAGAGGATGTCGAATGAGCGCTGCGGATGCATTGGCTTTTTCTGACGAACTTCGACGCCGACGCCGCTGTTTTCTGACAATTGCGGTAGTATCGTGATGTGATGTATGGTGTCTCGCCATTTGTCTCAAAACAGCCGTCTCTCTTCATTTTCGGACAATGTTTTGAGGTAGCTTCGTGGGGCCCATTGCAAATAAACAAACAACATACAGAGGCAGGTATGCTGAAGCCTTGAATAAGATCACTACATGGAGTTCAAAACGTGTCTTAAGATTCCATTTTATCGGCGCATTCAGTTCGATGAAGAACTTGAAGAGCCGATTTGAATACACTTGAGTTTTGTTGGCGGTTGCAATTATGCGTTAGCGCATGTCATTCATTAGCCTGAATTATTGAAAGCCGCAATTAAAAAAATTATTCTATGCTCAGTCAACTCCAGTTTTACTTGCAATCGGAGAATTACACTTAATTCGTTGCTTTCAGAGAGACGGAAAATGTGAGAGAGACAAAGAGACAAGTAGCATTCCGCTTGTTGTCACATAAACAAACAAATGAAAATTTGAATATTCCACTTTAATCGCAACCTCAAAAACCATCATCAGCTATGTTCCTGACAATTTCCTAATATCACTTTGAAGCTATGTGCCACCACACAGTTTCATTATTTTGACTATGAGCTCCCTACACGTCATTCTGTTGGCCGATCAGCAGATTGCGATAAACAAAGAATGGGTGGCCGCGTTTCCCTTACCGATGCTTCAAATAGAGTACGGATCAGTATGAGATTGCACGAGACAAAAGGCTGGGGCCTAATTTTCTCTCTATATATATATAAGCACTCGGGAGCGAATTCCGACAATCGATAAAGCAATCTCACGACTACCACCGCAGGATGGCTTAGTATTTTATCACCGGGAACAATGATTATGCTTGCTTAACGCCGTTCTGCGAGCCGGTGAAATCGTAATCGACCATCCGATCACAGTGGTGCCTCGGATCTGATCAGAACTGATTTGTCTTGATTTTGCGGCCTAATACACGTGAACGAGAAGCTGGGAAAAATTGCTCGAGAGGAATGCTTTGTTAGTTGCTATGGATCTGAAGCTGATGACTTTGATCACGTTGAGCGCGTTTCTGGCATCAGGGAACTGTCTCGACAATGGTCTCGCTCTATTGCCTCCGATGGGATGGCGAACCTGGCAAAGATTTGGCTGCAACACCGATCCGGTATTGCACTACGATGAGTGCATAAGGTAAGATCCGCACCACAATATACTCTGCTTCATATAAAGCGCAAAACAATGGGAAGGCCGACGTGATTTTTCCCAGTAGAAGAAATTGCCTGAAGTAGTAGTTCGGCTTCTTTAGCAGTTCATAAATATTCGTCTCTATAATATAGGCTGAGTACCAACAGACGAAAATCTCTTTAGTTAGAATATGAACAAACGTTAGAATATGAACAAACAATGGTAAGAAGTTTTTATCAGGTGGTTTTAAACTAGTTCACATTCCACTGCAGTTCTTTTGCGTTTTAAGACGAGATCTTTACATGTCTGATGAAACGCGAAAACTGGCCGTCGGCGTCGACCACCATCTAATGGTGTTGTTGTCAACACCAGTGCTGCTAAACAAAATATTATCATATTGAGATGCCGTAACCGTATGACCACTGACGTCACAGACCACCATAATTTGTATAGTCCCCGCGACATCTCTATGATGTCACACGACATCATCGTTTAGTCATTGGTGAGTTCGACATAGAGGCAGTACAAAATCACATCAGGTGTAGAATACTTGATTGTTAGGAAGAGTGCTACGGTTTCATCTATACTGGGACGCTGATTTCTACTGGTGTGCATTCGTCAGCTCAACGCTTTTCTTAACGGTTTCGCATTTACATATTCAATGTCTTTTCTTGCCGTTCCAGGGCACATATAAACTGTCAATCACCTGTGGCACATACCCGCATACCGCGGCACGTGGTATACTGGAATGTGACACAGTGATTGATTGATTGATATGCGGGGTTTAACGTCCCAAAACTACCATATGATTATGAGAGACGCCGTAGTGGAGGGCTCCGGAAATATCGACCACCTGGGGTCCTTTAACGTGCACCCAAATCTGAGCACACGGGCCTACAACATTTCCGCCTCCATCGGAAATGCAGCCGCCGCAGCCGGGATTTGATCCCGTGACCTGCGGGTAAGCAGCCGAGTACCTTAGCCACTAGACCACCGCGGCGGGGTGGTATGTGACACAGTGTCTAGAGGAAAGGGTTTGACGATGTACGAGACAAAATTTTCAAGTTAATCATGTCATGGCCTGAGAGCAGACGATAGTTATGATGCGAGAGCAGAACGACGACGCAGAGACAAGAAGGACACGTCGTTCTACGTCGTCGATCGGTTCTCGCGCTATAACGATCGTCATGTCATACCAACTAGCCCATGCTGCCACTCTTCTGAGAGCAGAGTTAACAGTTTGTCAAGCCCTCTTATTCTTCTCCCATGGTCTGTTTTTGTGTACCCAAAGTTTAGGAGGCAATCACGAGGTCAACCAGACGTGTATATATATATATATATATATATATATATATATATATATATATATATATATATATATATATATATATATATATATATATATATATATATATATATGTGTGTGTGTGTGTGTGTGTGTGTGGTGTGTGTGTGTGTGTGCGTGCGCGCGTGTGTGCGTGTGTGCGCGCGCGCGTGTGTGCGTGTGCGCGTGTGTGCGTGTGAAAAATAAGACACTCTAAAGAAGACAAGTTTTCTCGTACGGCCTATTAAAGGGGTTCGCTTCCAATCAACGATATCCCATATTTGACTGCACAACCAAATTTCCCCACATTAGTGCACTCACAGTCCAAACACACGTCATTATTTAAGACATACAGGGTGGGATGTTATGCGGAGCGTTGTGCATCCCACTCTTTGCAACTTTGTTTGCGTTCGCCCTGAAACGTCTTTTTATTTCCTTTTCTTCGCTGTCAGGAATGTCGAGACGGGGTATCATTGTTATGCATATGCCACTTTTTAACACATTACAATGGGTAATAATATTAGTGCTTGTTACTATACTGTTTGCTGACATTTTTGTACCATTCATTTGTTGCAGTGCTTATGGTATTGTAAATAAATAAAGTGAATGAGAAGTGGTTTATGTTGTGCTGTTTATTTAGGCCCAATATAATGGCCGATATTGTCAGCCCTTGCAGTTTGCGAAGGTGAGTAATTAGCAAAGACGTTTAGCGCACTACGCTGAGGTGACACAATGCACCTTTTTCACGGTGCCACTGCGCATGCACCCTTCCTTCAGCGAAAATGCCGCGAAATGCCCCCTGTTTTCGAAGTCCGTTCTAGCTATGCCAGTTTTCTCGTCCCCTACCAAGACGGCAGATGACCGAACAGAAAAGCGGAAAATGCAAATTTCGAACAAGGGTATCAACTCACTCATTGCTTTAATGTGTGATCACTGATTGTCTTATATTGCAATGTTGCACTTTCCAGTTGAGCACGAGCGAGTGCGAAACTTCGGCTCATGCGCACCATACCAAATGCGGTGTTTTTAATGTGACGTCATTACGGACGTGACGTATACGCAGCACGAAAAGCAGCTGCTAATGCACAAAACATGTGTACTCCCGTAAAGACATGCGCGAAGGAAACCATGTCCACCCTCGCACACAAAATGCGCAGATGCATAATCAGTGGAATAGATTTCAACGCAAAAACGTGCGATACAAAAGAAGAGAAGACGACTACACGAGCGCTCTTGACGAGTGAAAAACCTAAAAGACAGGGCCCACTGTAGAAGAAAGAAAGCTTAATAGAATGCTTTGTTGAGCGCGTTGGTGCATTGTGGAATAGGCTCCAAAAGAACATTGTACGATACACAAGAAGAGATATAGTCTTCTACTGTTCTTGTGCCACGTTTCTTTTTGGCGCTCAAGTCTATTCCCCAAAGAACCAACGCGCTCAACAATGCATTCTATTGCTGAAGGGGCAACGTGCGAAAGATTGTTGATATGAACCGTTTTTTGTCAATGTGCAATAAAAATGAATCCCCGTGGCTTGCATCTGCATGCTTTTATTACAAGCTTCTGCATCAAAATCTATAAAAACGTATTGCGCTAAGAACGATCATTAAGGTAAGCTGAAACAAAAAAAAAATTGCAAACAAGCATTATTCCGATAGAACGCGTACCCACGCCTGTTTCTTCGTGGCTGAAGGAACATGCACTTGACATATTTCAAAATTACCGAAAGAAAGAATTTATTAGTTCCATTGTTAACCGGTATGTTTGATAACAATATTTTCGTGTCTCACTACAATATCTTTCGGAAAGCCTTTCTGAAAACAGTTCAGTACTTAAGAGACAAGATCACTAGGGTTGAGAGCTGGGCTAGTTGGTGAGACATCATTTAACCATATGGTGTAGTAGCGCAAATTCACGGGGACGAAGAGGACAAGAAAACACGACACTCGCTACACTCGCAACTAATTTTTATTTCAGAAGCAGCACTTCATATATAACCCATAACCCTAGCGACACAGAAAAGAACTACGAACACTGAATCATTGCCAACAGAAGCTTATGCGCAGACTCAAGCGATAGTACACGGCAGTTACGCTTAGACACTTTAAGATGACATAACTAAAACAGCCCTGGGTAACATCAAATCAAAAAAACCAAAAAAATTTGCGGGAATTCACACGTGTTTGAAACAAAATTTTGAAACGACAAAAAGGAGAGTATGACACATGCAAACACTGATCTCAATTAAGTCCTTCGAGGTAGCTGGCTTCTCGGTTACTTAACGAAACCGATGACTGACTAATGCATCCTTCTTTTCTTTTTTTAATGTGAAAGGCTTCGACAATTTCTCTGGTTAGTTGGTTTCCATGACGGAAGACTACGGTTGTGTCACTGTACAGTGGTGAGCAGCCACACTGGGAACAGTGTCTCTTTATGTGAGAATGAATGTCAGTTCTTAATGATTGCTTGTGTTCTAAAAGTCGGGTGTTCAAACAACGACCCGTCTGGCCGATGTATACCTTTCCACGCGTTAGCGGCAAGCAATACACGACTGATAGGCTACACTTAACTAACTTTGTTGTGTTATTTACCGTACAACTACCAGCATTAGTGATTACTGCTATGGAAACTTTACGGTCTGGTTATTGTCCTGGAAAGCACATCGACGCACTCGGTGATGAATCTTGGACGATCCTCCTCCGACACACGACGCGCCAAGGTCTTGACCAGTGTCACTTTTTCCGGTGGAGAGAGCGGTGGTTCGAAACAGAACTTCGGACCCAGTCCAAGAATCTTTTTGTACTCTTCGGGAACTGAAACGTCCCCCACAACGATCACTTTTCCTTCTGAAGGTTGTGTCTTTTTTGGCAATAACCAGCGACAGAAAACAACATCACGTAAGGAATTTCGTGAACTTTGGTGTAACAAACAGCTTGCGTTTTCTTACGTCAGATAAGGAAGGTTGTTTGGTTGTCATACCGGAAGGTCTCTTTCAAGATAAGGCGTTGGCAGCCGTGGAAAAAACTTTTGTCCGTGTAGACGTAAAGGCAAACAAGGTTAAGCAAATGGCTCTCACTTTACTAGAGAACAGTAAATTGGAACGGCTTGCATCAGCTGTAAAAAGCGCAGGTAGCTTACATCTTGAGTTGTTTTTTGCGGCAAAGACTCATAAAATTGATATTCCATTCAGAGCCATTGTATCCGAAAGGGACTCGTGGCAACTATGCTTGTCTTCGTATCTTCAGTGTCACCTTAAGACATTGAAGGTATCGGATCCTTTCAGTCTGCCAAACTCTGAGGCGTTAGTTTCGTATTTAAGCACACATAACCCAGGAAAATGCTATTTCTTTAGCGTAGACATACAAGATATGTATTACAACATCCCGCATGGTCCGCTATTGTCAAGTGTAAAGCAATGTATAACAGAAGAAAACGATGAGTTAGAGTTTGTGAATAAGTGTGGTGTATCGGTGGATGCCTTTTTTGAATTGTTAACCTTTTACCTTAGGTCGACATTTGTTATGTGGAACGAAGCTATGTACCGACAAAAATCCGGTATCACAATAGGCTCGAAAGTAGCCCCGGTTTTAAGCACAATTTATTTAGCAAAAATGGACAAGGCAATAGATTTAAACCTTAAAGGGCTTGCACTCAAAGTGTTTCGGTTTGTAGATGACTTTTTGGTTTTTATTGAATCGGATGGTCGGGATAAAATGGTCGCAGAAGTTTTGAAAGTCTTCAAGAAAAATAGTAGAGGGCTTGAATTTACTCATGAATTACCAGTCAATCACAAACTGCAGTTTTTGGATATTGAGTTAGATGCCACAGCAGAACATGTATGCTGGTCATACAATCCGCGAACGGAAAAACCCTTACTTAGCTACCGATCGGCACATTCTAAAGTTGTAAAGAGTGGCATAGCCTTTTCATGTTTGAGAGCAGCCTTAACAAAGTCATGTCCAGAAAAGATTAGCGAAAGCTTCAACGAACAAATTATCAGGCTAAAAAATGCTGGGTACGAAAAACACGTGTTGTGTAGATCGGCTAACAAGCTGATTAGTCACGTACGCAACAACTTTCATAAAAAATGACAAGTAATGAAAACGGGAAGAAGATAGTGTCAGTTCCATATGCGCACAAGATTGCCCATAACTTAAAAAACGTAGGTAATCGCTATGGCCTAGAATTAGTTTTTTCGGCACCCAACAAGCTTAGTAAAATATGTTCCAAACTAGACCGTAAAGTTTCCATAGCAGTAATCACTAATGCTGGTAGTTGTACGGTAAATCACACAACAAAGTTTGTTAAGTGTAGCCTATCAGTCGTGTATTGCTTGCCGCTAACGTGTGGAAAGGTATACATCGGCCAGACGGGTCGTTGTTTGAACACCCGACTTTTAGAACACAAGCAATCATTAAGAACTGACATTCATTCTCACATAAAGAGACACTGTTCCCAGTGTGGCTGCTCACCACTGTACAGTGACACAACCGTAGTCTTCCGTCATGGAAACCAACTAACCAGAAAAATTGTCGAAGCCTTTCACATTAAAAAAAGAAAAGAAGGATGCATTAGTCAGTCATCGGTTTCGTTAAGTAACCGAGAAGCCAGCTACCTCGAAGGACTTAATTGAGATCAGTGTTTGCATGTGTCATACTCTCCTTTTTGTCGTTTCAAAATTTTGTTTCAAACACGTGTGAATTCCCGCAATTTTTTTTTTGTTTTTTTTGATTTGATGTTACCCAGGGCTGTTTTAGTTATGTCATCTTAAAGTGTCTAAGCGTAACTGCCGTGTACTATCGCTTGAGTCTGCGCATAAGCTTCTGTTGGCAATGATTCAGTGTTCGTAGTTCTTTTCTGTGTCGCTAGGGTTATGGGTTATATATGAAGTGCTGCTTCTGAAATAAAAATTCGTTGCGAGTGTAGCGAGTGTCGTGTTTTCTTGTCCTCTTCGTCCCCGTGAATTTGCGCTACTACACCATATGGTTAAATGAAGACAAGATCACCTTAGACATTTTACTGAACTTTCATCTTTTGTATGAGCATTTAAATTGGCATGATTACTTGTGTTTATACGAACTCTGTGTGGTGTGGCCGCATTTTTATGTAGTGTAGGCACATTTCTGTGTAGTGTGGAAACTCAGCATTTAAAAACGTGGACTCATTGCGTAAGCGTTGTGCTATGTATATTTGTATAGCCTTGTGTTTGCTATAAAATATGCGATGTCGACTTTCGTGCAAGAGAAGAGGAGTAGCCGGTGCCATGCATAGGCACCAACATCTCCTTATATACGTTTATTAATAATAAAAAAAAAACAGGCACTCGGCAGCGCTGCATCACTCCAGCTTTGAATATTTTCCCGCCAATCCACTCATGACGACGCTAGTTTTTACTGTCGTTTTTCGAAGCAGAGCGATTGCCGCTGTGTATGAGCCAATTTTAACGTAGGATTTAAGGAATTTGCGCTCTGGGCAGTTGTTAGGTATTCTTGAGTGCCAAGTTTTGTTCTGCGTGAGAAAACAGACGAAGAAAAAAAGCTCATCTTGAGCTAAGTGACGCAAGGCTGGGTCACAAGAATCTGGTTTGAGCTAGTTGGTACTCATTCATAACGAAGGACATACTTTTGTCGCAAATTGAACGAGGACACACAATACAAAAGAACAGGATAGACTGTTAAGAAAAACTGATGCGCACGCACATCGTCGTGTGGTTGATTGTGCTATAAAATATTTTACCTTTGGAATAAAATTAGTTGGAAGTTTGCCACCCGTCCTGTTCGTTTGTGCTATGTGTCTCTGTTGAGTTTGTGTCAATAGTATCTTCAGTTATGGGTCACAGAAAAGCTAGTGGGCACCTAGCTCGTTCTGGCTTGACTTGGATTTCACTTTCTCACCTCTCCATTTCGAAGCCCTTGTTGTATTTTAACGAGCATGGCCATGCTTGCTTTCAACCAGACATTTTCTTTTTCGCGAGAAAGTTATCTCTTTCTCTAACCTTGTTTCGCTTTTTCTTTCTATTTCTCTTTCTCCACACTCGTGTTCTGGCGCAGCACAGTTACTGTATCCCAAGGCCGAAAAATGGACACACGTGCTCTGGGATGGAAGCAAAACACGATAATGAAAACAAAACAGAGCATGTGCTTGTTCATAATGGTCACAATTTTCTATGATTTCACAATTTTCAGTTTTCTACAGTGGAGCGTCATGCTCCGCTGTAGTAAAACACAAGAACCAAATGAAATGGCGCCAGCCTGCTTCATTTTGTGTTCGTTCTAGTCTCCAATCCTATAATTGGGCTGCCAAAAAACGCGCAGGGAGGTCTCTCACCTTTGACGTGGCCTCTCGTGGACACCGTGTAATTTTTGTTGCCTTTCAGCGAGACACTCATCTCGGACATGGCCGATCGCATGCTGGTGGACGGCTACCGCCAGGCCGGCTACGAGTACATCATCGTGGATGACTGCTGGAGCGCCAAATCAAGAGACGCCCAAGGGAATCTAGTGGCCGATTCTCTCCGTTTTCCGAGAGGAATGAAGACCGTCGTGGACTATGTAAGCCTAACACGATCCCTGCTTCAATGGGGAGAGCAGTGAAGTGGTTGAGCAAAACTTATTCCTTAATCACCGTAGAAGCGTGGAACTATAGTTGGTACAACATTTCAGGGATCAAGAGCGAAAAACTTTGCCGATGCAAAACTACAATGGCGAAAGGGACACCGGGCTGACAGAAAAACGCTGTACTTGTAACTGAATTCGAAAAGTACGAAGACGACCCAGTAAGACAACCGCGCATTAACTGCTGCGTCTCTTATGGAAACGAGCAAACCTAAAAGCAACTGATAAATAAACGCTATCAATTTATCTAGAGAGCATTACACGTGGAGAAGTGAACTAAACAATCCCTTATGTAGTTAGGTGCATATGCATCATTTTGACAGCAGTTTCGACCCTAGCGTAAAGATAGCTCAACGCAGTCTGCATGACATACAGGTCAGTTCACTTCTTGACATGATGTGGTGTCCATATCATATCTTTTTATTCCTTTTTCATATTATCGCTCGCTTTGTGGTTTGCACATTTCCATAAGAGGCGCGTTGGTTCTTGCGCATGCGCAGCTGTTGTCCAGGGATCGTATTTTTACATATTACACTCAATTGCAATCATGATATGTGGGGTTTAACGTCCGAAAATCACCATATGATTATGAGAGACGCCGTAGTGGAAGTTTTCCGGAAATTTTGATCACCTGACGTTCTTTAACGTGCACCTAAATCTGAGAACTCGGAGACTCAATCGCAAGTAGAGCTTCTTTCGGTCAGTCCTGTGCAACTTTGCCATTCTTTATCCTAGAAACATTTATTTACAGTTTAAGAATTGCAAGTGCATCATTTAGTTTTTACCGACATTTGATGAGCCAAAGGACAACGTGCGGACCCAAGATAAATGAGCATATAGCATCAGTTGATGCATCTGAAATAATTGATAGCATAACTGTCGCTGTGACTTGCCAAAAGTTCATAAAAAGATCTAGTTTTCTAATATTTTGATAAATTTTCATCTAAAAAACAAAGAAATAAGCCAGCTTCACTTGAAGGGCACTGCGAAAACAGTGGAGCTGGGGGCGTGTGGTGGGTGGAATGAAGTGGGCTGAATGAAGTGGAAGGGGCAGTAGCGGGAGCTGTAGCGGACGCTGCATGCGTGAGTTGTGGAAATAGTGAGTAGTGCGCGTGGTGGTATAGCAGTAGCAAACATCCGAAGTGGTTTTTGTGTACTTTCCGTGGCTAAATCCCCCTATGATCCACGATGTACGCTGGTCCCGGGTCATGAAAGCCTTGGCTACAAGAATATATCTTCACTGTTGAAGAGAAATAGTGACGCTAGAAGCTTGTCTCGGCATTGCTGTCAAACTGCATGTCAGGGATACCACGCTGTACGCGAAAGGAATCGAGAATTTCGAGTGCTGTTGTTTTCGCTGTTGTTTTTATTGTACCTTCCAGATGGGTTGCAAAGCTGGAAGTACAGCTGTGGAAAAGCGAGGGATGTTTTATTTCAGCGTAAGCACGTCTTTTAAGAGATGACCAGCTGAGCATATATGACGCGAATGTATGCTCATTCAGCTGACAAGGGCTCTAACTTGAGCGGAGTCATAATGTTGAGCGAAATGTGTATAGACAACATGTTAATTAAAAGCGTCTTTATTTACAAATTGTTATGAACAATAAAACCCGCACTTTTAACAAGTGCTTGCTCTACATGAACAGGCAGGCACCTCTGAAAGACATTTAGGCTCAGACAAAAATTCTGGTAACTTCGACAAGACGATCAAAACCAATGTCAATGAAATGATATATCATGATTAAGTAAGTGTAGCTTGGATTGAACCAAGTGTGTTAGGCCTATGATCGCAACAAAACATAGCGAGAAATGGCATATTTCTATGAAGCAGGTAGGATTTGTAGCGAACATACACCATCTCCTATCAACCGTTTCGCCCTGCATGCAGTGCCGTTTATGATTTGTTTTCGTACAGGTACATTCCAGGGGCCTCAAGTTTGGCATACACACAGGAATAGCAGCGAAAACGTGCAGTGGGTATCCAGGAAGCCTCAATAACTTTGAGCGTGATGCCAAGACGTTCGCAGACTGGGGTGTTGACTTTGTCAACGCAGATGGTTGCAACATGGACCTCAGGAAGATGGATGAACGTAAGTGTTATAGCAGTCACGGGCACTTTGCTGTTCTACTTAAAACGTAAGGGACGGCCACTTCAAATGGCCGAGTAGAACTGAAACCTGAGCGACATTGGGTGTGTTCCAATACTCACCGTAACCGGCTAAATAGACAGCTTAGTGGATGGCAGCCATGTTAAGCCCCATTACAGTCGTCGCGTAGCTGGCAAACTTAGACAAAAAATGCATGCTACTTTGCTTTCCGAACAAGATTGCGGCTAAGCGAACTGATCAGATTACTCAAACCTCGCCGGAATAGTTGTGTGCACGCAAGCAGACCCTTGTAAAGACGTTCAATGTGAGCAACGTTCAATTTTTCGTATTTTTGAATATAATACACAGCGAAAAGTATTACAGTCACGTTTGTTTATCTTAGCTTTCTCTTCTCCACGCGAGGTGGCGTCTCGTCCCGTATAAGCTGTCCATACGCATTCCATTTCTCAGACAAGACGGACGAGAAGCTGTCTTGTAAGCTGTCAGCGTAGACTGTCTACGATGCTGTCTAGAACTGGAAGACAGCCACAGAGGAAATCGCGGCTTTAATGCCCCTATACCTATCGCGCCCTCACCTGACACTATCGCACACTCCACTACCTGTCCTCGCCAATTTCTCCCTAGAAGAATCCTTACTTCATCTTGTCACTTCAGGTCGATACCTTTCGGCACTCAAGCCAGTGTCATGGCACTCGCCTCCTTCTTAGCTTCACCAAGTCCCCCGGCTGTGATAAGTGCGCATATGTGTAGAACTTCACCTTTGCGGGCGAAAACGTGTCTTTATTTGTGTTCTCTCCATCCAGAATTCAACAAAGCGATTCCAAAGTTTTTTTGCCTATCCACTTGGCCTTTCCTGGTTGTATTGGTTGGTCGCTCGCCATCTCCTACTGTCAGCAAATATTAGACTAAAATAGTAATGTATATCGAGTCAACCTTCCCAACCTTCGTATATTCTTAAACTTTTACCCCCCCCCCCTCTCTCACACACACACAAACGCTCTTTCCTGAAATAAACCCTCACTAAAATTGTTTGCGAAATATTTGTTTATTTCATTCGTAGTGTATTCACAATTTGGACGAGCCCTGAACGCCACAGGCCGGCCTATGCTCTACTCATGCGAGTGGCCCATGTACCAGGCGCAGTCCGGTATCGAGGTAGGTTGTTTTCCAAGTGCTCGGCAGCAATTTCATATTTTCAACAACTGTTTTATTGTTTCTTGTGACAAGGAACAAAAGTACGCTGGAACGAACGGTTTAGTGCCTCACGGAGGGCCCAACACATTTGTATACACCCTTGAAATGTCCTATAGTAGTCGTTTTAGCAAAAATAGATATTCGTGATCAGTATCAGACACGATTCAACTGCTAGACACTTGTGTGTAGTGTGTGAGAGTGTGTGGAAGGAGGTTTTGGAATTGCACACGCTGTTTTGATTCTGACACTCCTATATTGTGTACAATACGCACTGACAATAATTTTCGAAAACAAACAACAACGACAAAGAAAAAAACGAAGAAAAACGCGATCAGAATAAACATGACGAACGCTCATTAACCATGATTTAATAACATGTGAATATAATTCGATGCAGCCTGACTACGAGAAAGTAGCTAGGACCTGTAACATCTGGCGGAACTACGCCGCATTGACGTACAACTGGAGCCAGATATACGACGCGGTGCAGTACGAATCCAATCATCGTGACCTTCTGGCAAACGTCACAGGTCCGGGCGCCTGGACTGACTACGGAACGGTAACATTGTCCACTATGTTTGGTCACCACAATGACGGGTCACTTCTCGACTTCTCTCATACGTCACCGCATTTGGTGTGTGAAAAACTTGACATGTGTCACTGTGTCGCCACTGTTGTGTTAGTAGGTGCTGCTTTCACGATATTTATATGCACGTCGATTGCTAGGCCCATAACAGGGGAGATTGATTCAAATAAAGATAAACTTACTTACCTCGTTAACTTTCTATTTCTATCCTGGAAAACTACGACGCCATTGCAATAAGAAAGAAAATGTTTGGTAATACTTTTTTTCTATTCGTTGACAGTAGCAAGCTTTTAGAAGATAGAGGATAATTTGTGGAGACTTTTTTTAAGCAGTCAGGCACCGCGAATCATATGAAATTTAAGCAAGATTTTTTCTGCGCTAGACCTCACTGTCTTCGAAGGACAAAGTACAGTCGTAGTCCAATTGTTGTGTGGTAGGTTGCACCTTTATAGTCCTGTAGTGGGATAAATGGAACTGGGAATATATAAATTAATCACTGTCGGTTAACGTGAAGTCGATGATGGCGGAAAGAGGGGCTCTTTCGTAATGCAACTACTGGATGGCAGTGCAGCGGCCACAGAAAAAGGCACCCTTGACAGAACACTGTGCTGTATCTAACGGGCCTCTTTTCTTTCTATATTGTGTCCCTATCTTTAGCCGGCGCAACCATACACTAGAGTGCATTAATGAGGTCCCGAAAAGGCGGAAACGCTCTTTCATCAAGCTGTGTAGGATTACAACAGTCATAAACAGCATCTGTGCATAGAATGTGTAATGAAGATTAGTAACAAACTTTGATTACTAGTATGAAGTTGTTCACTCAAAATTTCAGTCACAGAAGGTTTCCACCGCACATCGCATGATAAATTGCTGTGTGGAATACAGAGAAGCCAGCTTGCCTGTTGTTTTGCTTTTTTAAAAGTACAAAGATCCTGTTGCAATCATAACAATTCAGACAAGTGCGTATGCCACACTGTCGACGTACATTAAAAAAATTACTCGGATGGGACTGAGAGGTTCAACGGATTACGTGCCTAAGCAGCCCTAAGCGATGTCGTAAGGCGGTTAGAGAAGACGGCCTTGAGAAGGGGAAAAAAAAAAACTAGTGGGCTGTGACTCATCTGGCAGTAATGCCAACGGTGCATACGCTGACGCTTTTAAGAAAAGCCAATGCACTGCAAAACTAAAATGAATTGCAACCATGCCACACGCTTCCCCTGGCCTGCATGTAGTGGCGTCAATGCGGAAGGCATAGAAGTGTTCCAAAATGCATAGGTTGCATTTTGTACTACAGAACGCATCAACTACGCTTTTCGTATTGTTCTCGTGGCGCCTGACTACAGTGCTTCACTGCTGACAGGAAGGTCATGGGTTCGGTACCGGCCGAAGCAGTCGCATTTCAATGGAGGTAAAATAGTAGAGGTCCGTCTATTGTGTGATGTCAGGGCACGTTAATGGTCGAATTTTCCTAAGCGACGTCTCTCAGAATCATATCGGAGTTCTGGGACGTAAATTATTATCATTTTATCGTATCCTTCTCGTAACAGATGTCTGCGATAACAGAAGCGCAACTGTAATTTGTATTTACTGGCATCCCGATGTGTTCACTAAGATACCATCCAATGCCTGTGATGGCCACGTGTATTGCGGTGGAGCATCCAATATTACGTGTTAGCTCCCAAACGCTCATCTTGGTCAGAGGCTGCATCCATGTGCCTCAGGCGCATCGAATAGGCTGACGTGGAACAATGCTTAACTTAAGTTTGCTTGCCACGGTAAACAGCCTTCGTAATATGCGATAGTGGGTGCTGTTAATTTTTTTTCGTTCAAGGTTCCAAAGCTCCGATATTATTATGAGGAACGGCATGGTGGAGGTCTCCGGGAATTTTGACTCCCAGGTGTTCGTTAACGTGCACCTTAGTCTAAGTGCAAGGACCTCACTCATTTTACCTCCAACAAAATGCGGCCGTTGCGAGCAGCTCTTGAGCGCCGTAACCACTATAGACCACTGCGGCAGGTTAGTGCATGCTGTTGTCAAGCCAAGGTTGAGGGCTGGTTGCCCATGACGAAGGAGATACTGCTGAGCACCTATGCTGAGCGCAACCCGCGCTCAGCTGGAAAGAGAAACAGTGAGAGAACAAGCATAAGCCAGACACGTTGTGCCATAGCACAAAACTTGTCCTCCGAAATTTTCGGGCCCCGCAAGTTCTTCTGAGAGCAATGGCGCATATGATTCGAAGGTCACGTAAGCACTACGTTCTGAGCCTGTCTTAACCTGTCGTCTCTACACAAAGCGCTGAGAGCCCAACACGTAAAAGGACATACGAGGCGTTTGTGCCGGCTAGCGTTTGCGACCGCGCCCTTATGATCGAATTTCGCAGTTGATGCTCGAGCGAAACAGCCACCCTCTTCTCCATGAACGTCCCTTGATGTTTCTTCGCCCCGAAGAAGTATAGGTTAGGTGTTTCCTGTCGGCTTGAGGAGCAATGGGTGACAGGCCTCGCATGAGGAGTGACGTGATCGTATGCACTCTCCGTGTGTCGGAGATGGCCGGCTTGTTTCATCTCTGCGTCAGTTCCATTCGCCGCCAGCGCTTGCGAAATTTGTACTCGCGGATAGAACATGCAATGCACGAAGAGATGTTATTGATTCGGGATTCATGCATAACATGACGGCAACGCTGATGCCGATAGCAAAACACCGTCCGAGATGATCATGTAATTGCTTTTGCTGTAATATGTGCTTCTCATTTTTTGTCAGATGCGTCCACCGGGAACCTTTGTCGAACCTTTGTCGAGTTCAAAGTAAGGAAGGAGAACAACAAGGCAGAAGGCAGGAAGGTTAACCAGGCGCATGCCCGGTTTGCAACCCTACGCTGGGGGAATGAGAAAAAGGAGTGTAGAGATGAGAAAGATATAAAAGAGAGGAAAAAGAGAGGAGAAAATTGTCAGTACATGGGCTTAAGCGTATGCAGCGGTGGTACTATGCAAAACTCAAAGAAGTTCACAGTGGCCTGTAGTCCCCAGAATGCACAAGAGGGCTTTGACTGCCTTGTGAGCCGACAAAAGACGAGGACAGTGCTTCAACAGTATGTGCACAGTGACTGGCCGATCATCCAGTTGTCGCAACGCGTCAGAAAGTTTTTTTGTTTTTGTGAGGCGAATCGAGGTGTTCGATAAGGAAGAAGGAGGGGCATGTCCCGGTAGTTTTCCCTGACGCATGCATGGCAAACCTTCTATTTCAGGTGGTCGTGGGCAACTACGGTTTGTCCGAGTCTTTGCAGCGTTCCCAGATCGCATACTGGGCGGTGGCACCCTCTCCGTTGATTCTGTCGGTGGACTTGCGCAGTGTAGACAACGTAGCACGGTCCTTGATGCTCAGCCCCTACGTCATCGCCGTCAACCAGGACCCACTGCGCGCTATGGCCAGCCGAATCCCACAGGTGACCACGTAAATAAGCCACAAAAAGAAATGGGGGTGGGGGAATCTAAACAAAGTTTTAAAGGCGCAAGCTTTACGAACTAAAAAAGAAAAATACTGGCTTTTCATAAAGCGTTCCGACGCTGAACAGGAAGAATGCGGGAAATTTCCAAAAATAAATAATCATAAAAAGAGCTTAAAGCACCCGATAAAAACTATATTTGTTCTGATCCACATGTTTTCACAAAATAAGTAGTGATAAGTGATAAAATTCGGCAGATCTCACGTATCTTGGGAATCGACGGTATGCGAAGCATACAGAGAGAAGGACAACATGTTGTAATTTGTTTATTGAGCGATATGTCATGAAGTTACGCTAATTATATGTACAAATGTGTAACGCATAGATATATGTTGATGAGTTGAAGATGTTTATATAACCAGTTGTTTGCACTTGCGCAACGATGCCAACATGACCATGAGTATTAGCAATACCAGAAGCGATAAACTAACAGAAAGCGCTGGTGCTCGCGAAGATGGTAGCCCTGCACACTGCTGCATGAATCAACTTCAGCGCATGGCACCTAACCACAACTGACGTTAACCCGACGTGACGGCTGTATCATATGAGTACGTATGCAATGTTCATAAAAACTGGATAGGCAGCACTGCAACCACAATTGACGTTTCACGAACTGTATCTATTTGAAAAGTATAGTTCCTAGACCTGGCGTGGCTTGCGGCCACGCGGAA